ATTTTAATATAAATTACATCAGATCAAAATACAAATTAACACTAAATCTTATATGGATAAATTATACATTCTGACATAGAAGGTAGTTCACGCTACAGCCACAGAACGAACACTGGTCAGCTAACTACAACGATAGTCGACCGGTTAGGTTGAACGATTACCCAAACGCTTTAACAAAAACCGTTCGCGTCGCATATATATATATCACAAATATCACAAATATAAATAATTGTACACATGTTGTGTGGACATAACATAACACACACAAATGAACAAATAACAAAATAACAATTAGACAACTTAAAAATGATAATATCATCATTAAGTTAAAATTAAACTTGTAAAAGATAGGTATATTGTAAAAGTAATTAATGCACAAATAAAAATATCATTTTTGAAATAAAGAGTTAATTTTCTGAAGAGAAGAGTTCAATATTATGTTCTTATGTTTACGTCTTTCTTCCAACCAAAATTGAACAAAAACTACTTATATAGTATTAAATAAAATAAATTACAAAAGCAAATTTGATGTTTTTAGAAAATTAAAAATTGAACTGATTTACTAATATAATATTCTGAGTTTAGAATAAATATTAGATATACATATTGGTTATTATAATTATAATTTATATTAATTATTACTGTAACCAAGGTTTTAAAAATTTAAATTGTTTTTTTTTTTTTGGTGTTAATTATTGTACATAACACGATATTATTATACTTAACTTCTAAATTTACAAACACACATTTTAACCAATTTAAGCTAGTTAATTGTAAGTTAGTAGATACAATTATTGTAATGGTTTCTTAATTATTTTGTATTGTTTAAAATGTTTTTATAGATGCCATCTGATGAAGACACAATATATTTAAATGAAAAATTGGCCTGTCAACAGGAACAAATATGTAAACTTAAAGAAAAACTTATCACATATGACGAAGTTAATGATAAAAAAGAACAGTTAGAAATTCAATTAGAAAAATTAAAAAAGTGGTTAGAAGATATGGAAGTTAAAGATAATCGAATGAAAAGAAATATGAAAAGCGATTTGGAGATTCAAACGGAAAAGTTAAGAAAAGCTGAAGATGTTGCATTCGAGTTGCGAATGGAAAATAAAAAATTACTAGACGTCAATGAGTGTATTGTTGAACAACTAAATACGATAAAAAAAAATGAACAAAAAATCCTTATCGAGATGGATGACTTGAAAATATGTCAAAATCGTATCAAAGATGATTTGGCTTATGCAAAAGTAATGATTAAGTGTACTTAACTAATTTTAACTGTACAGTTTTGATATAACTAATTTATTCATGTTCTCCTTCTACTTAAAATAATAATAAAGTAAGAAAGGAATACCTACATAAGAGTATTTAGGTATTTGATAGTCAAATAGATGCATTATAGATATAGGTATGCTACCATGTTCTACGGATTTTTATTTGGGAAACTTAAACAGCTCTCATCTATTGTTTGTTGGTTTCCAAACTCCTTCCGTTAAAAAATATTTCACGAATACATAAATACCCAAATGGCTCTGGTATTCGACACCAAAAAGGGGGTCACGAAATTTTAGTAGAGGATTGCCAATAATTCGAATAGGGACAAATAGATGAGACGTTTTTATTTATAGACTTATAATGTTAATTAAGTGAAATATTTGAGTGAAAAATAAAAATTAAATATCAATTTCCACATTTAATTTCATTTTAATTCTAGTTTATTTTATAAAACCAATGATGCAGGGTCGTGTCCAGGATATTGTTTTAGGGATGGTTTTAATTTTTTAAATTGAGTACCAAATTTACAACTACATAATTAAAATAAGTAGCTATAAATCTGTATAAGTGCATATACATAATAACCCGTAATTTTTTTATACAACTGTTAAATATTATAAATACATTTTAATAGTTAACCTTATAAAACTATAACTGTAAATAATAAAATTAGCACGAATAAAGTATAAAAAATAATAATTAAAAAAACCATTTTTAGAAACTAATATTTTTCATAGTTTATACTAGTATGTATTACATCCTGTTTGAATATTAAACAAATTTTGAAAATACTTTATCTGGGTCTATTAGTATGTCATTATGAATTGATAGAAGAGCTAATCCTGTGAGTCGATTTTCACTGGTAGTTGATCTTAACTATGATTTTGTGCGACGTAAACTTGAAATATGTTATGGTGTTACAGTTGATACTGGAAGGGTTTTCAAGATTTCAAGCTTTGAGCGTAGCGAGGGAACTATTGGTTTTACAATGCTGTTTATTTCTTTTTTATTTTTCTTTATTCTTTGTTCTAGTCTGTAAACACGTTTTGTCCTAGTAAACTTCCTCCTATTTATAAGTATAGTATTTTTTCTGAAAGCTTAAGTTGTCTATATTATACTTCAAAAATGTCATTTTTTGCTTTTCGACGCCATTTTTTAAATAAAAGCACTCAAGTTCGAAAAACTTAGGAAAACGTACAGTTTTAAGATTTCATTATTTTATAAAAACACGGACGACGGTTATAAATATACGTAGAGACTTGAAACTTGGTTATAGAACTTATATTAAACTTACCTAGATGTAGTAAAATTTTCAAAATCATCGGACGACTTTTTTAAATTTTTTTTTACAATCGTACTTTATTTTTTTTTTATACTGAAACCACTTTTATCCTAGAAAACTTGCTCTGATGTATAAGTATAACCTTTTCTGAAAACTACTACTAACTACTATTTAGTAACCACATAGATTATTTCTTGATTTTCGAAACGGTATTTAAAATAAAAATGATTAATCGGGGAAAAAAATACAATTTTTTCACGATTTCGTTATTTTAAATTAGTTTTCTAGCACAAATATGGCTTCAATGGAAAAACGACAAGAGACCTTTTTTGTTGAACTATTAATCTTGTTTTTAATGATGCAGTTCGTTTTTTTTTTTTTTAATAAGCGTTTTTAAGTCAAATTTAAACGAAAATCGCAAAAAAAATTATGGCTCTTCAATTTATGTATTACCGAACTATTTTTTGTAAAACTATTTTGTACCCTCGGTGGTCGTATGATGCTGGCCGATGCGACACAGACAAGGCTTGTGTAATATCTTTTTTTTTGCGATTAGTTACACAATAAGTTTTATTGAATTTATTAAAAAAATTAAATGGCTTGGAGTTTGAATTGTATGTCAAATTTTATCAGTAATTTTATTTAATCTCACAATAATAAGTTCTTCAAATAGATACAAGGTATGGCTATTAAATAACGAGACTGCTCGCCTAAAGGGCGTCCTAGATAGGCAGTGAAAAAATCGAGTAATGCGTTGAGTATCTAGATATCTTATCTATGCACGTACCAAAACACGTTTTCGTCATTATTATAGTATTTGTGCAGTAGTGGTTTGAAACGAACGTGTTTTTNAAAAGAGGCCTATAGTGAGGATTTCCTATCTCGGGCGTGTGTTTTTGAGTGGCATAAATTATTTTCTGAAGGTCGAGAATGCACCGGAATCCAATTCAGTCGTAATCCAAATTCAAAACCGTTTTCTTCGATATCAACGACATCGTGATGACTGAATGGGTTCCAGAGGGTCAAACTGTAAACCAACATTACTATTTGACAGTTTTGGTAACATTGCGCTAATCAGTTCGTAAGAAACGGTCGATATTGTGGAAAAACAAGTCGTAGATAACGCATCTGCCCATAACGCGCTGTCTGTGAAGCGTTATTTGGCCGCTTAAGGCACTCCAGTACTTGAACACGTGTCTTATTCACCCGACTTGGCACCCTGCGACTTTTACTTGTTTCCGAAGATAAAGTTTGCCTTAAAAGGAATCCGGTTTGAGTCGATGGAAGAGGTGAAACAAAAATCGGCGGAACTCCTGAATGGTCTTACGAAAACAGACTTCCAGCATTACATCGAGCAATGGAAGAAACGAATGAAACGGTGTGTGGCGAGGGGAGGGGAGTATATTGAAGAGAAGCATTTGAATGTAGAATAATTTGTATAATAAAACACTTTTTCGAAATCAGTCTCGTTATTTAATAGCTAAACCTCGTATATAGAGGCATTGATGCATATATTAGACTTATACATGTAGATGAAACATTTAACATGAAAACGCGTTCCGATGACCGATGGGTAGAGTTGCATTTCGAGAACAGAAACACGTGAAATAATAGATATAATAATAAACGCATTTTAATTTGATGTCCTTGAAGTGCAAATTTGCTCTATCTCATACTAGGCTTTAAATCAGCCTATCTTTATTGATCCGTTCGGACCGATCACGCCCTCTAAGAGCGTTCTCACGGGGGGGGGGGAATTGGGAATAGAGGATGGATACCCCTATGCCCTTTTCTTTTGGGTAATAGACAGTGTTGAATCCAAATATATGACGGGGGGGGGGGGGGTAACTTAAGCCATACAAATTTAAAATCTTTTCGCTTTAATTTGAAAAAAATCATATTTTTTGACTGTTTTTTGTTTTTCCCAATTATTATTATTATTATTATTGTATAGAATAAGAAATGCTAGATGCATTCAGTTCTGCAACTGCTCTATGCAGGTAATAGTCGCGATATGTACGCTTCTGCAATTTGCCTGAAGTAGACGTCTGTACTCAATAAATGATACCTAAAACGTGGAATTAGGTTATTAACTATTTGTCCAGGCGTATTGACAATCAATATATCAAATTAGTTGAAAGTTAACGGCATGGAGCGTTGATCTCTACTTTAATCGATGGTTTTAATTTGTTTAAGTTATTTATAGACTTCGGCGGGACACAATAGAATTTTACTACATCTAAATGTGTAGTATAGTAGGCACAACAGCTAGGTATATAAGAATAGGGAATACTAGGTGTAGCAGTTCGCCTTTAATCCTGTAACTACTTTATTTGGAGGAGAATTTAGGTGGGTATGGTCAGCTAAATGAGGGATGATAAGATAAGAGTAAAAAAGGAAGGATGGTAAAAAATAACGTATGTGGCGCATTATATAGGCCGTCCAGGATTTCCACTCTAGTGTCAATATTGTCAAGGACACTCACTAGGGGGCCAGGGGGGACAACTTCTGCTAGCTTTCCAGCAAGTTAAAATAATTATATACAAATTCAATATCTAAAAATCCCTAAATTTATTTTTGGTACCAAGGTGTACTGATATTTATCAATATACCTTGTTTAGTACATAGTCAATAGGTATACTTCGTGATCATTCCTATATGAATTTCACTAATTTATTATCATAATATATAATGATTTATGCCCTATGATTTGAAGTTGGACAGCTGACTTGCGGTTATCTAATGTGTGAGAATCGTTTATCCGGATTATGTTATATTTACATGGGAAAAAATCGAAAAACTTAATTTAACAGAAAAAGTTGTTGATGAATTTGAGAAAAATAAAAGAATACTGCAATTTGTGTTCATTTAGTTACTAAAAGTATAAAATTGAATATTATATTATAGCGCCTTTAAATATTTTTAAAAATACACATACAGTAAAACTTCCGTTAACGGTCACCTCTAAAAGACAGTCACCTCTGTGTAACAGTAATTTGTTTTGAACCCGTCAAGTGTTATTCCTCAATAGGAAACCTCTAAAGGATTGTCACCTCTAAATAGCGGTCATTATTTCCGGTCCCTTCGGTTACCGTTGTATGGAAGTTTTACTGTAATACAGAGATGGCCAAAAGTCGCGCAACGCCTATCGTTTTGTATAGAACGCGTTTCTCCCTCCACGTCGTAACAGCAAAGTTTATAAAAAAAACAAGTAAACGCAGTTTCATGTTCGTTATCGTTCGTAACACTGCCAAAATACAAATTTGTTGCGCGACTTTTGGCCACCTCTGTACATTAATAAAAGTGTTTGATTGTTAATAAAAATTAAGGCTGCCCCTCTCCCTGAATTTTTACCTCCGGACGCCCTTGAATATCGTTTAGCATGCTGTGTTACGAGTAATTAATATTACCAACTAGAACGGTGGCGTACCCTGACGGTCAATGTACATGTAACATATGTAATTAACAGATACTAATTATGTTGCGAAGTAGTAGTATAATATCACACTCCATAGTTCATTTCCAATACTGAATATTTAATATACTACAGTACACCTGCTGCATCACATTTTCAGGTATGCCATAAATTTGGGTATTTTAAGCTTGATTCTCACGCACATAAAAGAGACGATAGGGTACTTGCAAATATATGTGACTATATACATGTATGCGTACCCCTGCTATGGCATGGTATAATTTTAGGTTAATCATATTTAGGCCTAGTTTGGGGCTTACGCACGTTTTACAAGAAGCATATGGGCACTTGACAATATGACATACGTCAGTGAATGTAAATTCCAAAAAGTATATTTATTTTATGGTAGTTACTAGGTAATATATAACAGGTAAAATATAATATATATATACAACAGGTGTATGGTTTTCGACTGGATTCAGTTGTATTTGAATCATCTCGTATACCATTATTAATTTATAGGTCTGAAAAAATTACTTATAGATGAACTTATTAAATTGTGTTATATTGTCCTATTGTCATATTATATTATATTCTATTTTAGACTGACGGTGAAGATAAAAGAAATACTATTGGAGATTTAACAAAAACTTTAAAATGTAAAGAAAAACAGTGTTTTGATATTCAGAGTGAATTTAATGAATGCAAAACAGCTAGAGATCGACAAAATGAAGTTTTTACAAATTTAAAAGCAGAAGTGGAAATCATAAATGTAGAACTTGCTGCTACAAAATCACGCGCTGCATTTACGGAACTAAAGTTGAAACAAGAAAGAGATACGTTGTCAAGTGAAGCGGAAGTAAAATGTCAACAATTTAATTTTCTGGAAATTGAATATAATGATATTAAACGTTTAATTGATAAAGAAAAATTAAAAACAAAGGAGTTAGAGAATTTGATAGTGAAATTGAGAAAGGCAAATGAGAAAAAAATGTTTGATATGAAAATTATGACTCAGAAACTGAAAGAAGAAAATTGCACAAAAGCTGATAACCTACGTTGCATGGAAAGTCAATTAAAAAAACAGCAACAAGCAAACGAATGTATGGCGTCAGAGATCAAATCTTTGAAAAATCCATTACGTACGCACCAATGTCTATTAGAAAAGATGAAACTGTCTGCAGAAGTTGTTGAGAAACAAAAGTATTTCATGCGCGAGAAATTAGAAAGAGATTTGGACTCTGCGAAGTGCAATTTACGAGAGAAAATAAATAAAATAGAAGTTCTAGAACGCCAAGCATGTGAATTAAAAGAAAAAATTAAAGAATTAGAGTCCAAAAAATGTCCTAATACTAATACTAATTCCTATGCACCTAGAATATCATGCAAATCTTGCACACTTAGCCCGCCATGTGAAACTTACCAGCAAGTCAAATCTTGTACACCAAGCCCGTCTTGTAAACCGAGTCCGTCTTCACCTTACACTACTCGACCTCCGTGTTCATCACCTTGTAGTATACCTCAACTGCCATGCGAACCTTGCCAGCAAGTCAAATCTTGTACACTAAGCATGGCTTGCAAATCAAGTCCGTCTTCGCCTTGCACTTCTCGGTCTCCTTGCTCATCACCTTGCAGTATACCTCGATCTTCTTGTTCAGCACCCTGTAGTACACTAAGACCTTCCCTAAGTTCGGCCTCTCCGAGTACATCACGTCACGTAACTATAAATTTATTAGAGAACTAGGTAATACAACTATTTATTATCGTGGTCCATAAGAGATACATGAAACTGTTGACAAATATACTTTAAATAAATTTGATTTTCATTCAATATTCTTACGTCTTTTTTTATATTTATTGAACTATTTTTACATAAGAACATATAATACTAAAGGAATTCTCCAGAGTGTGCCGATTATTATGTATATCTCGGTTATATTACGGAGAATCGGTACGGAATTTTATATATTTTCTAAATTTTATGCTCAGATAATTTTCTTTTCATATCATTTTCGTTACACAAAAATTAAGGTGATTATAGTATAGGTATACATAGTGAATCACTCTGTATAAACACATCAAAATATTATGTTGTTTAATAAAGATATATTTTATCATATTAAATATAAGTTTTAAGTCCAAATTTTAAGTTCATAAATCGATACGAATATTTTTAACTGAATTTCAACAAAAATATTTCAATTTTAATAAAAAGTGTATAGGTTCAAATGTTTTAAAATTTTATCATGTATATAAAATGAAAACATAAGTTTTCTGACTAAATTTCAAGTCTCTACAAATATTTTTTACTGAAGTACAAAAAATAACAAAATTGAAAAAATAATATAAACATTATTTTCATTTATTATTTTTATTTATTTTTTACAATTTTTTACAATTTTTTTCTTTTATTGGGAAAACTGTCGAGAAAATCAAAAAATGATTTCTGGTAAAATTTGTGTACACAGTATGAAAAAATAAACATCTTTGTAAATCCAATACATTCCTCACTACATTCAGAATCTAAAATAATGGTATATTATATGATAATACTTATAATGAATTTTAGATTCTGAGTGAAGCGATGAATTTTTGGTTTTATAAAGATGTTTATTTTGTTTTTATTTTATTTTTATTCTGTAGACAACTCTTCTACCAGAGATCTTTCTCTGATTTTCATGTGTAGCACTTTTTTTGAAATAAATTGGTGTGGGGAAAATATAAAAAAAATCTTATCCATTTTAATTTTGAAATTTGAATAATTTGAATTTTACCATAATATGACATATATTATATTGTTGACAAAGTAGCACTATCAACTGAATTCCGCTCAGAATCGTTTTTTCGTTAGCAATAATTTATCGTTGCTTACAGATAAACATTAAATTCCCTTTTGTATCCTACATTCTGTAATGATATATACAATATGGTATATATCATAATTTTAATCAACTAATTATATCATAATATAATATATAACATTAATATTATCTACACTACATTTTATTATAGTGGACACCACATTATTTTATCAGTTTATAACCTACCATAGTAGGCTGTAATAAGTAATCTAAGTGATTAGTGAGTATACATTCAGTTGCTTTGTACCCCGTCATTCACTTTATTCCAAAGTGGCGCCCAACGTGGGGCTCGAACCTCGACCCCGAGATTAAGAGTCTCGTGCTCTGCCGACTGAGTTAGCCAGGCTATTCTGGCCGATGGTATTTTGAAATTCGCATAGTATTGTAGACTGATATTATCACGAAAAACAGTAAAGTGCCTTCCCCATAAATATTCTCAAAAATACGTAATGCCAAAATATAGTCCTAATACTTCTAATGTGAATGTGAAATACTCTATGGGGGGCATGAAATTTTGGGTCTTTGCAGTTTGGTTTCAGTTTTATCTCGCAATGTTTTACATTTGCTGATTTTATATTAGATGCGTCTGATATAAATAAATGTAAGTATTTTTTTAATAATTGTATTGCCTGTTTGTGCTGTGATAGATTTAGTTCATGGGATATGTTAATTGGAGTGTTTTCATTGTCACATAGTATTTCTTTGTTGTTTATTAGGTTAGAGTTAGTGTTGATTAACTTATTATTGCTATGTGCCTTTTTAATTTGCATATGTTCAATGTTTTTTAATTCATTATCTATATTAGATTTGCTTACAAGCTTGTATTCGTGTTTTATTTTTGTAATTATTTATTCTAATGATGTAATATCGTTTATTTCAATATAATTGTTTGGTATTTTGAATGATGGCTTTGTAGATTTAGTACCGGGAATTTAATGAGTATTATTGTCTGTATTGTAGAGTTTAATCGGAGGTTTATTTTATTTTTATTGCGATAGATTATAGCCGTTTTAGTTTTTTCGTCAAATATATAAGTGTCATGATTATAATAATCGGCAATGGAGGCCAATTCTTCATCGGACCACCAATGACCAAGGTGGTCTGATAACTGTAATAATTCTAAAAGAAGGCCTATAGAAGTTATCTTTTTTTCTTTATTATCGTTTAAAGCGTTGCATAGGACATAGAGACCACAATTTCCGTTTCCATGAACATTCTCGCCGGGTTTGTAATTACTAAAGATTAGATTTATTTCATTATCTTTACTATTGTCGGTGTTATTATGTCACTTATTATGAGGAATTGCTTCTAATTTATTATCGTTTTTATTGTTGATTTGTGTGTTAACATTATAGTTGTTATGCCGTAATTTATAATTATATTCGTGATTGTCGTTTATGTTATTGACTTTCTTAATTAGTTTGTCAAAGTAATAATGTTCAAGTATTAAATTGATCATTTTTTTGTGTTCTCGTGTTTTCCAATTATTTGTTATATCATATTTTATGGCAAATGAGTAATTCTATTTTAGAGTTTTTAAATTTAGTCCAACTGCTATTGTGGGAATAGCTAGTTTATGGTCGTGTAATTTAATCATGGTTTTGTGTAGACTTCCTAGTGCAATTTTTATATTTGCATATGTCGGTTTGTCAAAATATTTTTGTTTCGTTATTAAGTATTAAATTGTCCGATTTCCTATATTAATGGGAATAGCTTCACCTATCCTTGGTTTTAGTTTCGATAATTGGGGAGATGCGTCTTCAAATTCGTTTTTTTATATGTGTCGCTAATCCTTTATTCATTTTTAATTTCGCTGAGATGCAATGAGCTATAGAGTGTGATGGATCTACTGCAAACAAATCTAAAACCTCCTCTTTGATTCCATTCGCATGATGATTTTTTGTGTAACTACTGTATGTTTTTATAGACAGTAAGTTGTTTAGTACTAATGTTTCGTTTTCGAAATTTATTTGCGCCTTTTGTTTAAAAAGAAAATCGTTACCTATGCACAAGATAGATTTTTTACTAAATAAGTTAATATTTTGAATGTTTGGGTATTGATGGTAACATTTACTATAGTTGAGCCTAGTACAGTTAGAGGTTCATTATTTGCCCCTGTTAATATTATTAGTGTCTTTTCTATGTGTTTATTAAGGACAAGTGTGTGTCTAATGCAACAAATGTTAGCACCAGTATCAATGGTTAATAATATTTTTGTGTTATCTAAGTAAGCGTAGATGTGTAGTGATTCTGTTAATATGTTTATTTTATGACTTATTGTGTTATTATTTATTTTTCTATTTGTTTTAGACAGCAAAGAAGGGGAACGGCTTTTGTCAATGCGACCGTTTAACCTAGTTATTCGTTTTTTGTTTGGATAAAATATTGTCTACATACACGAGCAATGTATCCCTATAAATATCAATTTAAATTTCCAATATAGATGTTTTAACGAACTACCGGTTTCCGTCAACAATAAGACGTACTTCATGACACCAAAAAATCACATACTTTAAAACTTTGGCACACAAATAGACTGTAATGAATACATACCAGCCGCTTTCACAAGCGACACAAAAATATAGACTGCATTGACTCCAAAACCACACAAAATAAGTTCTCCTCAAAAATTAAAACCTGCCACTGCTATATCCTGGTTCTATGAAAGTGCAGATAATTTTATGACTGCTGGAATATATACTCTAAAAATAATCAACGCAGTGCAAAAACATCTCATGTACCCACAAGAAACAGAGACAGCTCAAAAAAACCTAATAAGGCAAACAACAGGTCATGAGTGTATAAATCAAAGCTTTGATAGCAGGAACATAATTAGTGAACAAACTATAAGCAATATGGTCCACTCCGAGTTGCATAAATTGTGGGAATGGTTCATTGGAATCGGAAATATAACGTCCAGAGTTTTAGGTATATTTGTCATAGGAAAAATTTCATTAATGATAATTAACACAATACTCAATGTATCCATCCTATACAAAAATTTTATCTGGAGCATTAAATTAATAGCTCGTATTTTTTCAAACATAACGCATTATCTAATGCACAAGGAAAATTCGAATAGATACGGAGTGATCTCTTACACTGCCATAAATAAAACTACTCACCCTAATCGGCCTACTCCACGAAGAATGTCCATATAGAAGCAGGTATCCACCACACACAACACGCAAGTGGATCCGCTCTTACACGAGGTCTAGCTATTAAATAACGAGACTGCGCGCGTAAAGAGCGTCCTAGAGAGGTTAGGGGAAAACCGAATACAGCGCTGGTTAGCTGGAAGTATCTATAATGCCAGTACAAAAATAGGTTTTTGTTGGTGCATTAATATTTTTTCTGTAGTGGTTAGAAACGAACGTGTTTTTTTCTCTTGCCGAAAACGATATATGACGAAAAACAAGATTAACGGATAAACGTATAATTTCTCGTTAAACTAAAAAAAACTTCAACTGAGTGCTATAAATTGTTAAAAGAGGCCTATGGTGAGGATTCCCTATCTCGGGTGCGTGTTTTTGAGTGACATAAACAATTTTCTGAAAGTCGAGAGTGCACCGGTGATGACCAACGTCCTGCTCGACCTGTCTACGTTTCAACACCTCAAAAAGTGGCTAAAATTAATGAAATTGTGCGAAAAGATCATCGATGATCATTCGGATGATTGCTGAGGTTTTAAACGCCAATAAAGAGACCGTCAGAAAAATTTTACACAACGAATTGAACATGAAGAAAGTCTGTGCGAAGTTGGTCCCAAAATATTTGACTCCTGATCAAAAACTCGTCCGTCAACAGATTTGCTCAGACATTCTTGAGAGGTTAGAAGAAGAGCCTGAATTGATAGAAAACATCATCACCTGCGACTTTTACTTGTTTCCGAAGATCAAGTCTGCCTTAAAAGGAACCCGGTTCGAGTTGATGGAAGAAGTGAAACGAAAATCAGCGGAACTCCTGAATGATCTTACAAAAACAAACTTCCAGCACTGCTTCGAGCAATGGAAGAAACGAATGAAATGGTGTGTGGAGAGGGGAGGAGAGTATATTGAAGGGGAACATTTGTTGTGGAATAATTTTTAAAATAAAACCATTTTTCATAAACAGTCTCGTTATTTAATAGCCAGACTTCGTAAATTGTATTAATTTATTTTTTTTTTATCCTTAATTTTATTATTATTATTATTATTATTATTATTATTATTATTAATATTTTATACATTTACTGTTAATTAAAATTGTATAAAATATGCATTGTTATGAGGGCATAACAAAATAAAGACTGGGGTGCATGTAATGATATATTCACTTCTCAACTTCACACTCCCAACAGTAGCTGTAATCATCCCCATTATCCTAGGAAAGGTTTTTTTTTTACCACAACGATTTACAATGAACTTCTTATTAAATTGTCAAATAATTTTGTCGAGTTTAACAATTTTATCTACAGAGTACATAACTACTAAATAAAAATTACGAAAAAACTCAAATGTGTTAAAATACCTATAAATAGCTCAAAAGTGGCTCAAATATCTAGAAAAATCAAGTATAATTTTTCTATTAAAATTTCAAGTCTCATTTAATTGCGGTGTTCTTATTTTAATGATTCGAAATAATTTTTTCCTTCGGAAACAATATCTTTTCTATGTCGTTTTGTATGAAATCCTATTTGTTTTCAAATTATAATCCATGGTTTGCAACATTTGCGTAATTATAATTTCCTAAATTTCATTTTAGTTGTAATTTGTTTTCTTTTTTGTCTAAAACGAAAAAATATTATAAGTGAGTAGGTAATAAATTCAAATTAATTTATTCTATCATTCCCATAGTCTCTGTTTTTTAGTTAAGTTGTGTGTAGGTTGTGTGTACCTACTCATATAACTGTACCGAAGACGAAATGGCATTTTCAGTTTTCGAAACGAAAGACATCAACAAGGAAAACGTACCACCGAGGAATCAGACACGATCGCGACGGTCCCTGTTCGACTTGCTTGTTTGCAGAGAGTCGCGTCTGAAATCTAACGAGGTGAATTCTATAAATATTCGAAGTAATTGATTTTGTTGGTGGTTTCAATGATTAATACTACTGTCCATCGTTCATACTTTATTTGGCTTAACCACCTAACATTAACATATTATATTTTAATTTGATACTGGCTAGTTATAATCTAAATCAAAATTGTGTACCTGCATAAATACATGATTTGTACCCATACAAAAAATAAAAAAAGACGACCTAGGATAATAAGGACGGGAACAGCCACTCTTATAGGTAATTTAATGTATACCTGAGTTCAGTTGATAGTGATGCTTTGTCAACAATATGTATTCTATATTGTAATAAAATAATTAAATACATTCTATATATTTTTTTTTAATAATATTTGTTTAATGTTGTACCGATTTCCCCGGTTTTCCTATGTTTTTCTCAGGTTTTTTTTCTTCGATTTTTCGTACTTAATGAGAAAACTCTAGAGAAGATCGAAAATTGATCTCTTTAAGGTACCTCCCCAAACAAATTTTCTTTCAGAAAAGATGCTACACGTAAAAATCGAAGCAAGTCACCTGGTATACAGAAAAAAAATAAACACCATTGTAAAATCATTAGCTTTTTCGCTCCATTCCGAATCTAAAAATTTTAGTTCCCTTATAAATAAAAAAACATCTATTATAAATTTAAATCTTATTTATACATTTTGTACAATTTGTTATTTTGTTCTATATATTTGATATTTTAGTAATTGTATAGGCACTATTATAATTTTACAATAAGTAACTATTTTTATTAAGAGTATATTCATTATTTTAATATTTACATTACATATGTTGAAAGAACGAAGGGTTGTGTTGTGAGTGATTCTCTAATCACGAGAATATTATGAGAACATTCTTCAAAATATTGTGCTTTGAATATTATTGAACATGATCAAAGTTTAAGTTTATTCTTTAAAAAATATATCAGACTCAAGAATAATCAAAATTATTCTCCAGAAAAAAAAAATCAGTAATATTAATTATAATTCAGTACACAAATATTAATATTTATACATATTTTGATTCGGAGCGTAACAAGAAATGTATTGGTTTTACTATGATGTGTGTGTTTTTTTTTTTTTTGATAGTTGGTACAGCAAAGATAAGTAATATCATAGTGAGTGGTTACTGGTTATTTTATTGGTCACCTAAAGTTATTCATGCCATCATACTTCATCGTCATTGCCCATAAGTTAGCATTTTACTATTTTTACTATTTGTAGCTTAAAATTTAAACGAAGTCCCCAAATGAATAAAAGTCATACAAAAAGCCACGGTCCCCGGCACACCTGGCACACCCTGTGCGTACGCCTATGATTATAATATATTATCATTCAGAAGCTTGATTTTTACTTACAAATTAGTGTTAGTGTTTTTAACCCGAACCAGTTCAAATGAACGTCTATAAAACAACCTTTTTAAAATTTTAAAATTTGTTTCGATTACATTTTTTTAACAATTTTTAACATTTTTAATTTTTTTAGTTTTCAATAAAAAAATACAATCAATTTGAATTTTTGTATAAGAGGCCAGCATACGACCTATATTTTTGCTCAAAACCTAGTTTACAGTGTTAACTCCTTTTAAAATCATCCAATTTCAAGAGTTTTTTGTTTTGTTTTTGGAAAGTGAGAAACTCCCTTCAGGAACATCAACAGACTTGACATTGGACTTCAGTGTTTGATGAAGTATCCAAAAACCACGAAAAAAAATTAAACAAAAGGGTCATATTCAAACTCAAGAACAACTACAATGTTAAGGATTGTATACATTCCCTTTAGGTAAAACTTTCGTAATTTATTTTAGACTCTGAGTGAAGCGAAAAAAAAACAGGAAAATATAAAAAACATAGGTATTAGCTAAAATTATTAAGGCCCTCTTTTTTCCTGTAGACAATTTTTCTATCAACAATTTTAATTTAACTTATAATGATAGGAATTTTTCTGAAAGGAAATTTTACCGAGAAGGTACTTTAAAGAAGATGTTTTTCAATTTTCCCTGGAGTTTTCTCAACAAATGTGAACAACTGGGAAAAAACATCAGGAAACCGGGGAAGTTGGTACAACATTAAACAAATATTATTAAAGAAAATATATAGAGCCTAATTAATTATTTTGCTATAATATGGCATATATATTGTTGACAAAGCATCACTATAAACTGAACTCCACTGAGAATCGTTTTTTCGTAAGCTATGGTTTATTTTTGCTTACAGATATACATTAAATTAACTATAACAGTGGCTGCAGCCGTCCTCATTATTCTAGGACATCTTTTTATAAGATCTATGAAAATAACGAATATTTTTAATAATTTTGTATTTAAAAATTAGCAAACAAGTGTTTAGATAAGTGAACACTGCTCAGAATCGTGTTTTGTTCGCAACGACTTTTCGTCGCATTCAAAATATAACATTAATTAATATAATATACGAGTATTATCTACCTTTCTAACTTTCCATATTCATTAGACAACAGTAGCCTAGTCATAAGTAGAATCAGTTTTGTTCTTTTATGACAAAATATGTACAAAACTAAATAGGTACCTATACATATTTATGTATACTTTTTAAAAAAATTGTTAATTTTAATTATTATCATGTATACTGTAGTGAGCTTATTAAGAACTAAGGGAACAATTACGGAATGCCATTTTATTTTGTAATATATTTTACTAACCAATTTTTGTTAAGCCCGTAAATATTATTAATATTATTAATTTAAAACAAATTGGTTCAAAAGTCATAAATGACTTGCTACGAAGGTATAGAGAAAGAGAACACAAATTTATACAGGTGATTATTTTTATCATTGACCAGTATTTATCTCGGAAGTTTTTAAGTGAATTTAATTTCTATTTTTTTAATCTTTGTAGAATCATTTAAGCTTTATTTAAAAACCAATTTTTAATTTTTGACCTTTTCTTCATATATCTTAAATAACAATAAACTTTTGTTTTTTAAATGAGAATCCCACCTTTTTTGAACACAGATTGCAATAGAGTATATTTTTTTTAGAAATTTTGATACTCATAACATTAATATCTGATTTACCATTTATAAGTTATAACTGTTTAAAGTTTAAACCGGAGGAGTAGGAAATAATTATTAATTATCATTTAAAATGTATAGAGTAGAGGTAAAAACTTAAAAATGGTTTTAAAATAAAGCTTATATAATTGTACAATGATCAAAAAATATAAATCAAATTCACTTAAAATATTCAGAGATAATTACTGGTTTATGATAAAAAAAATCACCTCTTTTTAAAAAAATGTTAAACCCACTCCCAAAAAAAAAAATTTTAAAATACGCCACCAAAAAATTTGGTTGTAGGTCATAATGTATCCGACAAAATATCTCCAGGAAGTAATATCTCAAATATAAAATATCTTTAACAAAATATCTCCTGTTAAGAGTTTCTCCAGAAAAAAAAAACTCGGGTACAAAATATCTCTAGTAAAAATATCTTCGGTAAAAAATATCTCTTATAGACAAAATGTCTCCTGAAAAAATCTCTAGGATTTGTTTAAATATTTTTTAATACTAATAATTTTAGATGGTGAGCAATCTCTCTTAAAAAAAAATAAAATAAAATTTCGATCGAACAAAATTAAATAAATATTTCAAAAAATAATTAAATTTAACCAGTCAACTGACTTGAGCATTATAGTTATAATTATCGCTGAATTCGTATCACATGCCATATCTAACCCTAGCGAAGGAACTCGTATTCGTAAAAAATATTTCAGATAATACTACACAATACTAATATTGTGATTAGTTATTATTTCCAGTGGTATATTTCCATTAAATGTATTTTTAATAAGAGATATTTTTTAATAGAGATATTCTTAACTGGAGATATTGTTATCTGGACATTTTTTGTCAAAGATATTTAGTATTGGAGATATTTTTTACTGGGAATATTATTAACTGGAGACATTTTGTCCAAGATATTTTGGCTGGAGATATTTTAACTGGTCACCAAAAATGTAAATGGATGAATAATTATTATTCACCGCATAGGTAGGTCTACCTAATTCTAATTCAAATAAATAAATAGTTAAATAGTTTAATAGTATATAATACTGTTAAATTTGTTAACAATTTAGTTTAATTTTTAATTTTCAGACACAAAAATATTGTTTTGCTTCTATTCTACCATTTGTTGTTTATCAAGATAAACAAACTGTTGAAAAAGCTATTGAAAATAATGTGGGAAACCAGAAATCCTTATTCCTTAAGACCAAAAATAACAGCAATGAAGCAAAGGTACCTAATATATCAAATTATATAAAATTAATTTTAGATTCTAAGTGGAGCGATGAAGCCTATGATTTTACAAAGATGTTTTTTTTTTAATTTGTGGACAACGTTTATACTACTAGAAATTTTGTTTTGATTTTTAAATGTATCACCTTTTCTGAAAGAAAATCAGTGTAGGGAGGTACTTTAAGTATGTAATTTTTGATTTTCTCAAGATTTTTCTCATAAAATGTGAAAAACCGAAAAAAAAAACTGAGAAATACTGTAGGAAAAACGGGGAAATGAGTACATTAAACAAATACTATTAAAGAAAATATATTATGCCTATTTAATTATTTTACCGCATTATGACATATATATTGTTGACAAAGCATAACTATCAACTGAGCTCCGTTCAGAATCGTTTTTTGTTAGCAATAGTTTATCGTTGCATACATTAAATTTCTATTTTTTGAAACCTTCCAAGGGCCTTGTTTGCGCCAATGCGCAAAGTTAAGGTTAAGTTAAAAAATATATGTATAATTTGTTTTTTTAAAAATATTTTGGCGGAAAATGGTAGTTATTATAAGATACCTATACATAGGTACCTAATGTTGTTTCCTATACTTTTGGACATCACCCATAGTAATAAAATATAAACAAATATCTGTTAAAAAGGTTTTCTTACCCAAGATTGAATTGGATAATAGGAAACCATTGATGGACATTGGTCAATTCTTACAAACATCTATACGATATCCAATTGAAACTGATGAAAAATCTAATATCAAGCATATAAAGGAATCTTTAGTTTCATGTTGTATGTATACTGAACGTAAAGTAGTTGACCATGAACATGATGTCGTCCATAATTTAGGCGTTTCATTAGCTGCACATCAGATGAGCTGTAACATAAACACATATACATGTGAATTGTATTCATATTTTAAGGACGTTGAGGTATTATAAAAATATATTAATTTAGTTAATGGTGATTATAATTCCTTTTATTTTTTATTACTAGAAATTAGAGTGTCCTGATCCTGAATATATGAGAGCGTATCCAGATGTTACACATAGGATGAGATCAATGTTAGTTGATTGGTTGGTTGAAGTAGCTCAAGGGTATATGCTGCACAACGAAACTTTATATTTAGCCGTTTCATTTATTGATCGGTACCTTAGTTTGAAGCTAGTGGATGTTGCTTATCTTCGGTTATTGGGTACTGCTGCTATATTTATTGCTTCGTACGTTTTAAAATTTTTATTTTCATAAATAACAATTAATTTATAAAAACTATAATATATTAATATATTGAATATTAATGTGCAACTATAATAATATTTATGAATATTGTAAGTAATTTTATTTTTTTTTAGGAAGCATGAAGAAATTTATCATCTAGATATAAGTGAATTAGTTCATATAGCGGATGATATTTACACAGAAAAACAAATACTTAACATGGTAGAGTCAATAGTGGACATTTTATGGTTCAATGTGTCAAATCCCACAACCATTATTTTCTTAAAACTTATATGTGTTCATTGTAAAGTTCCATTGAAAGTCATGTACTTAGCAATGGTAAATTTTGAAAATCATATAGGAGTATAAGGCGTTTTATAGTATTAATAATACATATAATATATATTCTAGTATTTGGCAGAACTGACCTTACTAGAAGCAGATCCATACTTATCATTTATGCCTTCCATGATTGGCTGTGGAGCTATTGCATTGGCGAGATTAATATCAGGCAATGAAGTGATTTGGCCAGAAGAGATGTCTGATGTTACTAATTATTTTCTAAATGATCTGGTTTCTGTTCTTAAACATTTAAACCAAACATACAAAGGTGTGCGAAACGCCAAACAGACTGCTATTGGATTGAAGTACAAATCTGTCAAGTAACGTTGGCAATTTATTTATTATGTATTTATTTTAACTAAAAACGATCAATATCCTATGCAATTTAATTTTTTTTTGGGGGGTCTTTAGTTATATAGATTTTGAATTTTCATTTGAAGATGCATGTATTTCGTGTTGATCAAATATGGCCATGTGCAATACAACTTTTTTCTTAAGTGGTAAAGCATCTTTTTAACCACTAGTTATTACGATTCATATGTTTGCATGCATTGTAATGGTAAAACTACTTTTTTAAATCTAAAATTAGTTGAGATACAGTTATATAACCTTTATTCGATATTCAATATATTATGCGATATGTAGATATCATACCATTCTTCATAATACTTATTAAAATCCACGGTTTCCAAGTAAAAACTTGACTTCATTTTATTTTGAAAATTAAATTATGATGGTTTCTGATAAGTAAAGGTTGCAAGAATGAGATAATTCTGACCAATCGTTTCAAAGGTGTAACTTATTTGGAGTTAACTTGTTCCGAAAATGCAGTACAAAAATGTGATAACTTCAGTTATCTTATCAACATTAGTGTTATCATAAAAACCTAAATTTTAAAATGTTTTTATTCTCGTTTCCTTAAAATTAAGAAAAAATGACGTTTTTAGGTTTTTCTTGGAACCCTTCCATATAAGAATATAAATAACATGAATTTTATTATTCTCTACTATTTATCAAGTATTTTAAACTTACTGCTATTTAGATAAACATTACTTAATGGCATCATATCTAAAAATATTAACTATGTACATTTAAATTGCTTTATCTCAGCTAATTTTGTACTTGGAAAATTTGTTTTACCATTAGAATTAATGAAAAAAAAAAACCAATGGTTAAAAAGAGGGTTGTCATTTAAGAAAAAAAATTGTATTGTGATTATATTCTAAATAACAGTAAAATAATCTGAATGCATAATAATATGTTTCAATTATAACAACTAACTAAAATTAAAAAAATTAATATTGTGGCTCTTTGAAAGAATATTGAGTGTTTTAAATTAACACTTCTATACCTTAAGAGTACCCTAAATCCAAATTTGCTGTTTTAGTCTAATCAATGGCCAACATGAACAAATTAAATTAAATAGAACATACATTTCCTTTACTATCTATTAGTTAAATGAAACAACACATAACAGTACTCTTAAAAGTGTACTGAAAACTGTGTATAAAAAATAGTTGAAGAATAATTTATTAAATAAAATAATACCTTGATACCACGAGCCAACTACCAATTACTATAATAATATTATATTACCTAATATTAATATTATTATGCATATACATATTATTATACGTCTATTATATGTATTTTAATATTTTAAAAGAGAGCAGTTATTCAAAAATACTAAGGACAAATAATGACAGAAAGTAGGTATTTCTCTACTTATATATTTTAAACTTGTAATACTTAATTTAAAAATACATTTTGGGTTTTCTAAAATGGTTATTATCATTTTTAAACGAATTCCTGAAAAAAAAAACAGAAAAAAAACCAAATTTTATATTTGAATAAGGAATATAATAATATTGAAAATTATTTAAAAATAATAATAGTTATCTTATATTATCAGCCATATAGACATATAGTTACATGATTATGTCTTATCAAACCCGCATTGAATGAGTCAAAAATGTTGATATGTTTATATCATTACAATTAGTTTATAATTGTGGTAATTTTGTATTAACACAATGAAATAATATTTTTATTTTTTTTTTTATACAGTAGGTTTCTGCTACCTCTAACTGTATTTTTTAATCATTGACCAAACAGTTGAATTTTGTCCAACAAGGTTACTGAAACGTTTTTTTCTTTGGTTTTTTTGGGAGGGGTGGGTTCTCTATGTACTTTATCAAACAAGCCTTATTCACAGCAGTTAAAGGTACTGAAGTGATAAAATGTTTAAAACAATATAAAATTAAATGTTATTTAAACTGTTATAGATACCATTGTGTCTCAGAAATTGAGTACAAAGATTTAGTCATTCCTGATATTAAAGAAACACCTCAAAAAGAAATGATAGAAGGATTGAAGAAGATACACATTTAAGAAAAATCATAATGAACTTTGGTTAAGTAATAGGTATTCCACTGTTGTACACATTTCCAAATTTCTTTTTCAAACAAAAATAATAGCAGTAAATACTTCTAAACAGTAAAACCCATGAAAATTATTTTTAAATTTATTTAATTCTTATTAGTATTATAATATATGTATATTCCTATAAATAACATTTATTTATCTATTTCATAAATTCTTTCTTTTTTTTTTTACTATTGTTATTATTTGTTATAAATTAATTGTGTTATCATTTTCTTTATTACAATTATAAATTATCTTTTATTATATGTTTTTTTTCTCATAAAATAGGTTTCATATGGTATTCTAACACTATCTAAATTATTTGAAAAATATCTGAAATCAAGACTAGTAGATTTTTTAAATAATTATAATTTATTTTGTAGAAACCAATTTGATTTCCTTCCAGGAAAATCAACTATGGACCTGTTATTAACTTTTAATACATTTTTACATGAAAAACTTGATTACAAAAATAAGGTAATGGGTATTTTCTTATATATCCAAAATCTTTAAATTCTGTATATCATATTATTTTATTTAAAAAAAAATTTGAATATGCTAGTACCTATATGGGTGATTGTTTTTTTTTTTTTTTTATCAAAAATATAATTTCTTTACATAGTCGCATATCATGATAACTCATAATAATATCGTTAGACATTAAACGATCCACACTCCACACAGTTCAGACGGTACACGGTATCAATAGAATGCGGCCTTGCACTGTAATAACTAATAACTAATAACATGGAGTGTTAGTATAATATCTAGCTACCGACAGGGTTTGATAAACGTACCATAATCGTACCCGGTGGCCGGGGGTATGATTTGCGTGTTGAATCGGCGGCGTTAGTCGGCTGCAGTGGCGTGTGCGCGACCGTGGCGGTTTCCTAAACGGGCAGTGTGACCAATGTACGCAGCTGAATCAACATGAATATATCTTATTTTAACTGTAGCCACGCTGTTGAAAATGAAAAATAAAATAAAATGCTGTGATAATATAACCGTGTTGATAAAAAATTTGGTAAACACAAAACGATATTGACATTTTCGGTTTTCATCGTTATATTTGTTTTGTATACCAAATATTATCTAAGGATTTTGGGTAAGCACTATGCATTTTATATTTGATTCTTGATTAGAATTTTTTTTTTTTTATTGATATTTTTTCAAGGGATTTGTAAATTCTACTACTATCGATTCTCGATCGAAGACCGGGACAATCATGGCCACAGTAATAGCCATTGACCTGTCCGTGTCTATGATTAAAAAAATCAAAAACCCAGAGACCAATGAAACCTATACATTACTGCAGTTTGCCGAACACGGAATTAATACACTGTTGGACTATTTGGCCGTTCATTCTAGACTCGAATTAGTTGCCGTCGTGAGTAATATATAATAATATGCTTGATTCAAAGAAAAAACGTTCTTCAGTCATTCAAAATATTATCTACCTATCTAATCAAATACTGTTTTCAAAATTACATTTTACAATACAATATATGTGGAATTATATTATTATTACATACCTAAAGTAACATTTGTACAAGAAAAAAGAAAAATATACAACTTACCATATTAGCATAAAAACAATTGTTTATTTGGTTAACATTTGATTAAATTAGGTACTCATGCCTCGTTCTATATCAAAACAAATTTGAACAAAAAGCTGTCTTCTCCAATATATTTTTATAGTAATAAAATTGTACACAAGTTTATAAAGTTTATTCCAACAGGTTACATTTTCACATACGTGTGATATACTGTGTTCATTTACTCGCGACTATGAATCAATCAAAAATAAAATCACGCATTTAGATTTCCAAACAGACACCCACTATCCCCCTGTAATACAAACTATTAATTATTTAGTCCACAGAGAGTTGTCCAACTCAATAACGTGTCAAGTAAGTAACATAATATAAAACACTGTATTTAAACTAATATCGATAAATAAATAATTTATTTTAGGTGATTATGATTACTGATGGTAACTGCTATAGAGGTCTTCGACAACCAGATATAACGCCATTTCTATTTCCTGGAAAACTAATAGTCGTTCCTTTGGGTGAAGTATCCACAATTTACAAAAATAATTATAACTCAAACGAACTTCCAAACGGCATGGGATATATAACTTCTCCTGAATTACCTCTAACTCTATCTAAAGTTGCTAAAGTGTTTGAAAAAATTGCTATAGAAATATATGTTCCATGTATTGCAATGTTACAATGTGGCCATTTAAAATCTGATGTTCATCTGATTCCTCCTCCTATGGTAATATTAATAAACATTTTAAATTTAACACTTTAATGTATAGAAAAATCATTTTTTTTTTTTAATTTTCAGCCTTACACAAAAGCAGCAGACTTTGAGATAATGACCTATTGCATTTCTAATGAATTGAATATAATTGGATTTTTAGAGTCTTCGAAAGTTGAATGCCCTGCTACTTTTTCCCGTCATTTTGTTTTACCTCAACAATTTTCAGATGAATGTATAGAAAGTAATTCAAAGTCTTCACAAATTCCATCATTTTGCGTATTATTACATGACGCTTTAAAAGTAAATAAATAACTCTGTTTTAATAATTAATTTACTTTAAACAAAAAATAATAAATTCATATTTATTCAATTTTTTTAGGCGGAAAATATGATGGCTCTTTGTCAGTTAAATTCTAATTGGTTTGGATTATTAGTTAGTTGGGTTGACAATAAAAACAAATCTAACTTAATATTAATTGTACTTGAACCTGGTACAAATGCAATTCCTTGGTTGGGAGACATTCAAAATCTTACATTAACACCAACAGAAACTGAGACAGGTTAAATATCTAAAATAATTATTTGATTATTTATTATTTTAATTTAATTTGTATTGAATATTTACAGAAAACAATGACCCACAGATCAAAAAATTATCCAATAAGTGTAGTTACAATCAGCCACAATTGGTATGGATTAAAGAAGCCAGTCTTCAGACTGATATTCATAGAATTTTGAGACAAGCAAGAAAAATTCCAGATAAAGTTCTGAGTTTTTATAAGGTAGTTACCAATGTAACAATTAATTTAATTTGATTAAAGTATAAATAAAATAAGTGGGTATTCTTAGTTTAAGTTACTGTGAGATGATAAAACAATGATAAAAAATTACAAACAAAAGAAGATTTTAAAGTTTTGGAGGATGTTAAATGTTGGAATTTAGGAAAATATGCCATTTAAAGTACCACTATAATTTGTTTAATCTTTGTATAAATGTGTGAAAGTTGTGGGGCATCCTCTTTCCATTCAGATTCAGAAATTGTATGTTTTATACAATTTTAAACAAAATATTTATAAAAAATAAACATACTTAAATCATTCAAAGTGAAATCATTAAATTTATCTTAATTTGATTTGAAATTAAATATATTTTGTTTAGGAATTGAATCGGATTCGAAAAGCTGCAATTGCTTATGGCTTTAAAGATTTATTAACTGGTATAGCCAATCTATTGGAATTAGAATGCAGCAATTTACCAGAAGGTACTCATCCAGATTGTGCCCTGCAATTAACTCATGCTGCTATGGTATTGCGAAAACCTTGGGCTATGGATTCTAAATATACACTCAGTCCTTTGATAATAAAATAGCCTCTCCACGAACTCATGTAACATTCCACAAATTAAACAAACATAATTATGAACTTAATCAATAGGCCATAGTATCTTGTAAACTAAAATGATTATTAAGCAGAAAGAAATATTTTGTTGATATGTAAACAGGGCGTTTTTCTTTTATCTTGAACCAGCAATTATCTCTGAGGATTTTAAGTGAATTTGATTTCTGTTTTTTTTAATCATTATGGAATTGTTTAAGCTTTATTTTAAAACCATTTTTAATTTTTTATCCCTACTCCATATATCTTAAATAAGTACTATTGATTTTAAAATAGTACTCCTCCTTTTGAACACACATTTGAATAGAGAATATTTTCTAGAAATGTTGTTATGCATAACACCAATATCAGATTTATCATTTATAAGTTATAACAGATTAAAGTTTAGGCAGGAGGACTAGGGAAGGATAATAAATTGACTGTTTATTAAAATTAAAAAAAAAGTTTAAAGGATTATAATGATTAGAAAATACACAAATCAAATTCACTTAAAATCCCCAGAGATAATTATTGTTTCGTAATAAAAAAAAATCGCCTTATATAGAAGCATGCATGATTGTTAATTTTTATAACAAAATATGTTAATTATTGTTGTATATAAGTATGCAATAATATATTTATATAATAATAAAAATCACTTTTAGGCACTAAAAAATATGATAAAAATAGTAAATCTCCATGAATATTATTTTGTATTACGTTTTTACATACAGAGGTGGCCAAAAGTCACACAACAAATTTGCAACACAATTTGTAATAGTAAAAAAAATTGTTTATTTCTTCAAATAAAAAAAAATGATATAAAAATGAACATTACAAAGTAACATCATCTCAGGGCAATTATAATAAATATTCAAAATGATGTCCTCCAGCTTCAATAACTGCTCCACAACGTTTTTTGTGGCGTTTTAAAGATACAAATAATCGGTGCTCAAAATTTGGAATTATTCCTCGATTCGCTTTTTTAAATGGATCAAATTTTAGATTGGCATCTTGTATACTCGATCTTTGATAATTCCCCACATGCTAAAATCACAAGGTGTGAAATTGGGTAATTTTGGTGACCATTCCCACAGCCACCAATCCACTTGAAGTTTTTATTCAAAAAATCACGAACGACAACCGCATAATGGCATGGGGCTCTATCTTGTTGCTAGATAATTCGCTTACCACAGAAGATATCATTTTTGTATGTAAACAAGATAACGAGACCAAAGTTGCTATATGGAGGGAGAAACTGCATACAGGCGTTGAGCGACTTTAGCCACCTCTGTACATTGTAAGAAAACTATTAAATGAGTGCAAAATAATAAGTTTGGTAAAATTGTATAAATAAAACATTTAATATAAAAAATCTATGAGAGCTAATCAATAAGTATCAAGACTGATAATATTACTCTAAAGGTATTCTTGTAGAATCTCCATAAATTTCTTCGTTTTGATTCCACAATATTTTTCACGTTTTCACGCGAAACTTTCTACCACATCTGCAGTTTTTCAATTGAAATTTATTGACATAAATCATAAAATGTTACATCTCTCTGAAACTGAAAAAAATGCAGACTATAACTATCAATTCGCTCTTCCTTTGGATTCATTATAAAATTGCTAAACTCTTAAAACATATTTTACAAAAATATTGATGAAATCGAACTGAAAATTACTATAGAGAATTAATAAAAACAAATGTACTCAGAAAGTCATAGAAGTTAATGATACCAATCCTACAGATCTTTGATTCTCGATTTTTGGGTGTTACTACCAGTCTACATACTTTTTGATTAACGCATTATTTTGTAGGTATATAATATTTACTTGTGTTTATATAAACTATAATCAGTAACAGAATTTGTTTGTTATTTGCTAATATTTATTATTTAGTTCAAGTAGAAATAAAATAAGATTTATTGTTAATTTAAAATTAAGTATCATAAGAAATATTACTAAATAAATAGTTTTGGTTACTGAATAAAAAATACAGTTTAAAATAAGTCACTTTTAGTTTATACAATTTATACAAGTATTAGTGAAATTATTTATTCAGCTGTAAGATACTTCTGACACTGTTAAAGTGAAGAAGAAAATATTTAGTCAAAAAATTAATATTAAATGTCTGTTAGAATGTTCAGTAAAATATGCATAAATAGTGAATCTTAAATTAATTACGAATATATGGTTTTTATTAAGATATAAGTATTAAATATATCAACTAATCTTTAAAGTTTTATTATCATAAAAATATTTTCTTGAACAACAAAAAAATGTTATGGATTAACAGTCTTGAATATAACATTTTTTTGTTCTTGGAACTAACAAATTTGTTATTGTTGTATTCAAGAGATCATTTTATTACACTACTCAAATTAATTAAATGTAGTGATTGAATTTTTATTTTTTTTTAAAAAAACAATTCAAATCAATAGGCACCTGTTTACACTACAGTACAATTTTTTTTTTTTATACCATATCTTTTAGCTTTTATATAACAACTTCGTTTTAAATACTTAAATGCAGAATTTAATTCTATTATTGATAGATAGATTTATTCTACAATAAATCAATAAATCGTTGATAAATAACCTAATTTAACCATTTAATATTTAGAAGAACAGAAACATAGATTGTAACAATATTCAATTATGTGTAGTTATTTATTTCTTTATCTTAACTATCTTAACTTTTTAAATTTGTATTTCAAGTGTAAATTGAATGTTTTTATTTATTTTGTTTAACTTTAGTTAACTAAATTTTCTGCTTGTCTATTTGAACCTCTAAATAAAATGAATGTGTCATCAATATATCTATAATATGATTTTATACATGGACTGTATATTTTGTTACTAATATTATTATTGGTTTCATAATTTTGCATGTAAATTTCAGACAAAAGAGGTTAAATAATACACTACTCACCAAATAAGCTATGTATTCCTTCATTTAATTTTTTACATTTTGCTAATGATATACCTGATGATAAATTCAAAACTGGTCGTATAATACACTTATCATAATACTCCAGGTGACACATTCATTCGTGTATTTATTTCATTTTTATATAAATATTTTTTATTTATATATTTATTTACTGGTATTAACCATTGTAATAATCTTGTTTTTACTTTATTATTTTATGATTAATAAGTACTTACTCAATATCAATGTACTGACATATTAGAGAAAAAATTGTATCAGAAACTGAAAATAGGTAGGTAAAGATTACTATTAAAAAAATATATTACATTTTATACATTTATTCCAGTAGGTAACTTTATAAAAACCAAAATTTGTATAAAAATGATTGTGTACAAAAAAAAAAAGCAGACCATATTATATATTGTTTAGGTACCAGAGTTTCCCAACTGTGGAACAAGACAAAATAACATTTATTTATTTTATACCTTTGTACTTATACATTGTTATATTTTTCCAGTGTTCATTATTATTGAATGTGTGAAGATATCATTTAATATAATATATTATATTATAATAAGCAATCTACAATAAATGGTTTTTTTTTTTTCAAAAACACTGTTGTTTTTGTCTATGTTTTCTTTACATTCTTCCAAATATTATGATATGGTTTTAAGAGTAGGTATCAGGTATGTACCTATGTCATATGGTTAGGAACTTTATACTCTCAAAACTCTATTATATATCAATTATCACATTTCAAATAGTAACCATTATTTTCCTTGAACAGTGAAAACCACATAAAATAATAATTGCCTAATAATGTTTTAAAATAAATGGTTAGATAAGTTAGGTTATACTTTTAACTTTTAAGAGCAACAGTTTAATCAAATTTTGATTAAACTGCTGATTAAACCTATTGAATGTTTATAAATATTTGACCTGTTTAAATTTTATTGACAAACTTATAATTATTAATATAATATATACATATATATATATATATATATATTATTAGATACTTGTAAATATTATTGTTTTATTAATCACATATTATAGTTTATTTGATCATTTAATCAAACACATATGAGTAGGTACCTAAAGTATTAACCTATTTATTATGCATCATATCACAAGTAAATTGGATACATACCTACTTGGTAAATACATTTGTACAATTCATTGGTAAGTTTTAATTTGATAGTTTTATGCATTATAATAAATAATAATAATATCATTACGTTTAAATTTTGATTTTAGTTTAATGATTATTATACCTTACACACCGAATGTTGAGTACCTATCTAGCCTATGGGTTATTGATATTGAATTGATTATTTATATTTTTATAATACATGGCTGGTTTTACAATAAAGTAGCACCATAGAATTTTACCCAGGTCACAGAAATACTATAAACATCTAAGAACCGCTCTTATAGTGTCCTATTAGCGTTAACAGTGGTGAAATTCTACACAAACCTGCAAAATTTTAGCCATAACACAAACTTTATGGGCAATTATAAGATCAGACTAAGATATTTCAGAGAGTTGATTTAGAATTTTTGGTATACCTATACGGCAAATATTAAAATCTTAATAGTCATATAATCACTAGTTTGCAATATCTTCCATTCAATTTGCAAATGGTAAAATGAAAAATAAAAATATTAGTTTCTTTAATACATTTTAAGAATTCAACAGATTACAAAAATTAATAAAGTGTATATAAATGTATTAACTTTAATATTCGTATTCAATTTTATAGATTCGGTTTTTTAGATCAAGTTACTTTCAAAGTATCAAAGCAGTGGAATTTCAAAGAAATGGAAAAGAAATCTGATTTTTCTATTTTACAAATTGTGCTTAAATTACCTACTAATATTTTTATACACTCTACGTGTAATTATGTATACATAAAGTAATATATTCTATTGTTTTTATCACATGTAATTAAAATTTTTATATTTGGTTCTACAAAAATACTCAATTTGAAGTCTTATGATACCTAATTATACATTAGTCTAAAATATAGGTAATATAAACAACTCTTTTATTAATTTATGTACTATTAATAATTAAATAGATTAAATATTAAATTAATTTAAAGGAATAATATTATTATATGTATATAGCTGCATATTAAATTAAGAATCTATATAAATAAAATACCATAATTACAAAAACTTAAATTATAGCTTTTGAAATTGAATATGGGTTAGAAAGTTTAAAAAAATGATATATTTTTTAGTATATTGTAGAGTATTTACGTAATATGTATATTGTTTAATATAGAAAATATTACATTTTACTAAAAAAATTATATAATATGATTTACCTTAACTATGTATATTGTACTTATATACATATAATTAGTTGATACATTTTTTTAAATTATAAGATAAATTTTTCACAAAATTGTGTGTGGAAACTTTTCACTTGATATTGATATATTATCACTGCTGGCCCTAGGGGAGGCAAGTATGGCACACTTATTGTGCAGTTCCCCACACATTATTTTTTCAAAATATCATTTTATCTATAAGTAATCACAATATTGTGTCAATAGTATGTGAATTGGGACCCAAGCAGCTGTGTGGTTTTTTAGGATACAGGTTGTTATGAACGAAAATCAAGATGTCAATTATACATAGCTGAACACACACACTGTTATTGGCATGGAAATACTCAAATATATTTTATTAGCATCAAACACAGTATTGCCGATTCTTTTAGCTACAACTAGACAATTGATGAATGTGATTGCACCAATAAAAACATGAAAAAATAAGTTAATACTTTAAACAGTGGATTCTGCTTAATGCAGGCAGTCCCATAATATGGACTTAATAGTCTGGTCCTGATTCTAATCTATGTAACGATACACATTTTGGTTAAAATGGCAAACACTTAATGTGGGCAAATTTAATTGGTCTCAATGTACCCACATTAAGCAAAATCCATTATTTTATTAGTTATATTACAATAATGTTTATTTTTTTATTCACAGTAAAAGTATACTTATGTCATATTTATATCATCATGTTCAATAAAATAAAAATATTATTTGTACCTAATTAGGTTGTAAGCTATTATTTATAATTTTGTCGATTAAAAAAAAACAATTAATTACAATTACTTAATAATTTATTACTAGATACATTAAAAATTAACATTTCCATTTTTTAATTGCCTATACTCTCAAAATTTAAATGCATAAGAGGTTTTTATAACTTATATGTTATAAGATATTATTTTAACAAAATTTAACAAAATAAATGCAAGATTAGAAGTATAGAAATAAAAATTAAAGCTTGTCCCACACGATTTATCTACATGGTGAGCAAAGTAATTGTGATTATAACGTATACTTTAGGACTTAAGGCATTATACTTTTAAACACTCTGTACATCCTAAACTGTACGTACAAGCTCAAACCCTTCAGGGGCCCAAGGACCAATACATAGTTGTGGGCTCCCATCAATGAAAACAACTTTTTAATTAAGTATAATAAAAATATTAAAAACACATTATTTTTTATAACACATATAAATACAAATAAAATTAAGTAGTATTTTATGTAAGTCTTTGCTTTTTGTGTAGGAAATGATTATAAGGTTGTATTAAAGCTTAAATTTTGTAGAATATCATTTTCTGTAGACAATATCATTAATAATAATAGATTATCTTGAGTTTGTGAAGAACTATTTTTATTTTTAATTCTATACAACTTCGAGAATGTTCTTTTGTGGATACAATAAATAATAATGCAGTGTAAAGTGTAAACAGCAGACCAATGTAATCAGTAGGTATCTGAGTTCTGAGTACCTATGATGGTCACAAACTCCCATAAACAAATTTTCTCAATAGTTCTATTTTTAAATACAGCTATAACAAAATATATCCTTATTCCCTACACACATACAAACCTGGCCATGTGCCCCCACTTAGCATTTAGTGGTAAACATGGTAGGCGGATTGTTAGACAATTTTGTTATTACAAAACTATTAATTACCACTCAATGCAATTTTAAGCTGAGAAGACTATGGGCTCTTTATATACTTTACACACATCTCTTTGGACCCCATGGTCCCCTGGTCCCCCATTAATCTGGACTTGCTACAGGTATGTTTCCATAGTTTACGATTTTGTGCGCGAAGAGTCTCCACTGCGCATTTATGTCAGTTGGTGTAAAACTAAATCATGGAGCAAATTAATTTTAAGATATCAGGTGGGAGTTATAAAACTTTTTACTCATGGCTCAAAATTATCCATGCATAAAACAAAATTAGCTGTAATCATTATTATTGCTTTCTTATCAACTGGTTATGGATATTTATGTATTTTTAAAAAGCTGTCCTAGGATGATGGAGATGAGTGCAACCACTGTTATAAGTAATTGAATGTATATCTGTAAGTAACAATTAACTATTGCTAACAAAAAAAATAATTTTGAGCAGAATTCAGTTGATAGTATTACTTTGTCAACTTTGTTAAAAAAAACATTGCCTATTTAAATCAAATACGTATAATTACCTAGTTTAACAGTTTCAGATTCAAGTAATTAACAATCCAACTATTCTGAATAATTTGTTTATTTAATTTAATTACACAAATTAGTAGTATAAAGAAAAAATATTAAGGATAAAATAATTTACATTTGTATAATCATTTTATTTTCTGGTGCAATTTTTTTAGGAATGATATTCCATCAGCAGCACGTTCCGGTATATCATCTAGATGTCTTTCACGCCATTCAGCAAAATTGCTTACTAATTGAATAGCATCTATAGATGGAGGAATATTCCTTTCTCTGTGCGGCAAAAAAAATAAATACTGCACTATTGCTATTATTCCACCATACTCCTAAATATAAATTAGTTATAAAAATAAATGTAAATTTGTTTAATATTTGTATTTTATACTTAATTATTCAAAATTTACCGGTTTAGTGATATGTAAATGTTCTAATGTATATCCTGGTTGTGTGGAAGTGCGTGGAGCATCCACAGCTAAACAAATTTTAATTGAATCATGTTCCACATAATGTTCCAATACATACCATAACATTTCAGCAAAACGCGGGTATCTTAATTCTCTAGGAAGCTAAAATTTGTTTAAAATTAGTTTCAATTATATAATTCACATAAAATTACACTGACCCTAATTGATTCCTCAGCATATGCTATACGGATTTGTTTCTGAATACTGAAAGAATGTAAAAATTTTCCTCCAAACATCAATGAGTCCATGCGAGTATAAACAGCATAAATCCAACCGGCAGGAATGAAAACTGTATCTCCAGCCATAAATGATACACGACTACATTCTTTAATTATATCTCCCAAAAATTTGCGGCTTTTTTTTTCAGTCAATGCCCAATTTTGGTATATTATGATGTTTTCTTCAGTGGGAGAAATAAACCAAAACACCTAAATAAAAATTTCCTTTAAAGTATACATACCATGATGAATTAAAAATAAAATATTTCAACCTTAATTCCTTTTAATATGTAATACCACGCAGATGCACCGCCAACATTGATATGAAAGTCAGTATAACAACCTTCCACAGACATAAAGCAATATCTCTGTACAAATGGATACCCTTCTTTTAAATGTCCAGGCCAAGCATAATTAGCCCAATCTAATTCCTCTACCTACATAAAAACATAAATTAATAAATAACTATTACATTAATTATATTGATTGAATAATTATATGAGTACAACAAAAGGCATACAACTGTAGGAATTTGTATTTTATCTGCTAAATTTGTATTGCTAAACTCAAGTGAAATAACATTTAATATTTTATCTTTTTTCTCATCTGTATAATACTTTGTCCACTCATCCATGGTCATATTGAAATTAACTTGTTTAGTGACATCTATTACATCTAATATTCTGTTTGGACCTAAATAAATAATATAATAATTAAATACTAAATATATTAAAAACTCACAACTTCAATTTGCAATATAAATAAAATGTTTAAATATATAGTAATTCAAAAAATAACAAAAGAAAATGCCCTAGGATAATGCATACAGGATGCAGCCACTGTTAAGAGGTAATTTAATATATATCTGTGAGCAATGATAAACCATTTCTAACAAAAAAAAAACGATTTTGAGTAAAATTTGGGTGATAGCGATGCTTTATCAACAATATACAGGGTAATTTTTTTCCATTTTTTGATTAAAATCAGAATTGAATAAAATGTTAATCATCTAATATCGAAATTTGAAACAATATTAAATCATGTAGTCACTTTTTGCACGATGGGTACGATATTATTGAAAAGTTAAACATTTATTTGAACAATATTGAATTACTTACCAACATGCAAGCAAACATCGTTTACACTGAATTCTTCACTGGGAACACATAAACCGAGACCATCCGTATTCTCAAATAATATTGGTGATGTAAATCCGTGATTTTGTACATAAGCAATTGTAAAATCTGAAATCATAGAAAAAGCATCAAAAAAACCTGTTCTAGGCTTTATATATTTTCTTTAATAATATTTGTTGATTGTACTGAATTCACCGTTTTTCCCAGTTATTCCACGTTTTTTCCCGAATTTTTACATTTGCTAGAAAAACTCTTGGGAATATCGAAAAATTATCTCCCTAAAGTACCTTCCCAGTCAGATTTCCTTTCAGAAAAAGTGCTATCATTTTAAAGCGGATCGAAATTTCTGATAGAAAAGTTATTCACAGGAAAAAAAGAAGGTCGTAATATGTTTTACCAATACCTACAATTCGTATATTTTCCCATATTTTTCGGTTTTTCATATTTATTGAGAAATCTCTTGGAAAAATCAACAAATTACCTTCTTAAAATACCTTCCCAGTCCGATTTCGTTTTAGAAAAAGTGCTACACTTAAAAATTGGTGCAAGATTTCTGGGAAAAAAGTTGGGCGCAGAAAAAAAAAACATCTTTGTTAAACCACAAGCTCCTTCACTTCACTCAAAATCTAAAATGTCAAACAGGGGCGTATTATAATATTTAAACAAAATATACAACTTATGTTTCATACCTTTTCCTTCCATTGTTCTCAGGAAGTTGAAACGAGTATACCTTAAGGCATCAAGTTTATCTTGCACTCTGAAATAAAACTTATTTCTTCCTGCATACGTTTTCTGTAAACATTAAAAAATAATACAATTTTAATTTCGATTTTATGGATTCATAATCATAGATATGCGCAGACCTTGCTGGCAGGGGGATAAATACATTATTATATGTTATATGTTATATGTAATATAAGCAACGACCAGATAACGGATAAAACTTTAATATTTTTATTAGCGATATTTTGTACTGTATTACAATTTATAAACCACCCCCCCCCCTTAATTGAGCTCAAGATATGTCACTGGATAGGACCTAGATAATAAAGTTTGAGAATTAAACGATATGTATAAATGTATAATTCTCCGAAGTCTAAAACCGTGAGAAATATAATATTTTAATAAGCTAAGACACATTTATATATTTATATTATTTTATTCAAAAACCCGAATGTTCAAATGTATCGTTGTTTTTACTCTTATATCTACAATGTAAGTCCAATATTATATAATTCACCCGCATCTGTTGTGAATAACTAATAAAATAAAAATCCAGTAGATACGCCGATATTAGTCAAAATGAATAATGACAAAAAATACTGAAGTCCAAAGCGAACGCGAATTAAAATAACACGGAAGTTTAGTATTTTTTTCTTCTTGAAGGTACGAACTGTGACAAGCTGATCACTATAATTTAAAAATAGTAAATTTTACTTACGTTTCTCAGCGAATAGCTGGAGTATGGCGTTGAACTTTGGGATTTATTATCTGTTTCTGATGAAGATGACGCCATTTTCGTACAACGGTGACCGAACACAACACAAACACTGCGTAAAATAGTATATTATTATAATAATATTTTATGTGTTTAATGACGATGAAGCCCTGGAGGACGATCGAACGTACACAAACAAATACGGCAGGACGCTTTAGCACGACTGATGGTTATGCGTATTGTGTATGTACTTCTACCACTGTATAGGGATGGATCGGGGGCGGTGCTGCGGGCGTTCGCGTCGTATAGAACCACGCAGTACGGATAGAGAGGGAGTGAGAGAGTGAGTGAGAAAGAGAGGGAGGTATAGTCCGGGACAAGGGTTCGAAGAGTTCTTTAACAATTGATGAAAAAAAATACATGTCAAAACACCGGAAAAATAAATTTAAAAAATGTCTTCATAAAATTTTGTAGGTTATCAGTAAATATTCTGTCCGGAATACATTATACATTTTGTATATATCACATTCGTATCATTATCGTGATATAAGTAAATGTTTATCTCTTTAATTAACTACTTATATTACAATAAACTGTATATATACTGTATAACATCGTTAATTTTAAATTACTAAAATTAAACTGAAAGAAACCTTACCGTGGATAACAATTATGCTCTAGCATAGAATTTTAATATCTTAATCATTGTACCTATTCTTATCATTAGATTCATAATATATTAATTAATTAAATATCATTTAAAATTAAGCGAAATTTAAACAAATACTATACATTAAATACATTATAATATATTATACATTATACATTTTATAGTATTTTATATAATAATCTATTGAAGATCATCATGAAAAATAAACTATAAACTCGAAGGCTTATCGTATCTCGTGAACCTGGACGAAGAAGGATAATTGAAACATTTTAATTACTAATTACATAAATTATGTGTACACATTGTTTCATTTCTTAACTACCAGTATATGAGTACCTAATACAACTTTAAAACCTATGTATATTTTTAATGTAGAATTATTATTAACATAGAATTTATATATTATGTAAAATATATTCTGAGCGTAGCGAGGAGTGTATTGGTTTTAGTAATTTTTTTTATTTTTAATATTATTATTTTTATTACTAAAATATAAATGGCACACCATATAAATTATTATTATTCAATAATTTTAGAAGTTATATGTTATATATTTTACATGTTTTAATTTATTTAGTTACTGGTGTAACTCAATACAGTGATTTTGGGTCTCACCCGTATTAAATAACATAAAATGTTATTTGTAGCTAAAATAGAAGAAATAATATAAATACAAAAATAATACATACTTAACAAATATATATCATTATAATACCTACAACAATTTATTGTGTTAAAATAGATTTCTGCTTTAACTTTAATATCATAGAATATTTAAAATATATACCTGAATAATATTTTTTGTACATAAAATATAAGTACAAAACACAAATATATGTATCTACAAGTTCAAATGTTTTTGTGGTACCAACTAGAAAAAAGAAGGCCTAGGATAATAGGGACGGGGCAGCCATTGTTATAGGTAATTTAATGTACCCCTGTAAGCAACGGTAAACCATTGCTAATGAAAAAACGATTCTGGGCGGAATTCAGTTAATAGTAATGCTTTGTTAACAATAAAGATGTCATATTATGGTAAAATAATTAAATATGCATTATATATTTTCTTTAATAATATTTGTTTAATGTATTGATTTTCCCTTTTTTCCTACGTTTTCCCCATGCTTTTTACATTTGTTGAGATAACTCTTGGGAAAATTAAAAAATGACCTCTGTAAAGTACCTCCCCAGTCCGATTTCCTTTAAGACAATTTGCTACACTTCAAAACCGGAGCAAGAATGCTGACAGAAAAGTTGTCCAGTCCGCAGATAAAAAAAGAAAAAAAAGAATAAAACTCAGTAAAACCATAAGCTGCTTCGCTCCACTCAGAAACTAAAACACGTTTGCAACAGTGCTTGACGTTGTAAATTATATTCGAAAATTCCAAATGTACTGGACAATATAAATTGTGTGTTTCCATAAAAACTGCCTGTAATTATTGGGCGTGGGAGAACGCATAGATCGGAGAGCAGTTGCGCTGTTGCTATTGTTGGTTTGGAATGTCGCGCCGTTCAGCGAGGTTCTGGACGACGAGATCAAAAACCTGTTAGTCGGGAACTCGGCAACTCGACAGAGGGCCATGACGAGCGTTATATAACAAGTAACCTTGGCCTTTATTCGTAGAGCCCGGTGCCCGCGTAATGTAAGAACAGTAATATTATTATGAGAACAGAGAAAGCCACACGGCATCTGGAGAACCGGAATATATCGGTGACCAGCAGCTGTGCAATTGTTATTTATTTTCAGTGGTTCCCAGTAAAGCGATATCCGATTCGTAACAATTATATTATTATACCAGCCGTCCCGCGCGGTGACAATTTTTATTAGGTATTATTATTTACCCATATTAATTTTTGGTTTTGGCCGTATCAAAATTTAATGAAAACAAATGGGTAGTAATAATACTAATGATATCTTTCTTTTCCATAACACTAACGTAACCCTTGAATAAACAAAAATAAATGAATAAGCAATTAGATATTCGTACCAAATATACCTAAAAATTCCTATTTAACCCGCTTAGGGGTTGAATTTTTAAAAATCTTTTCTTACTGCGTGGTGAAAGTATTAGAGGAACTACCGTTCCAAATTTCAAGTGCGTACGTTGAGTAGTTTTTGAGATACAGCGATTAGTGAGTCATTGGTATTTGGATTATACATATATATATATAGATTACTTACATAATAGTACCTATACCACCTAATAAGCAGGGCTCGGTAGTTCTAGCAAATGCACATTTGTTTTGGTTTGTCTTACGACGTTCAGAGTGAGATAAAAATTTGTTCCACACTTCTCTGACGTCGTATACTAAATTTTGCATATTTATGGTTTTTAGTGCTATTTTGCTAATTTTGAGTTTTAAATACTTTTGACAGGCGTATTTTCATGTACAAAAGGAAAAAAAGGAAATTATATTGAGAAAAAAAACATTTTTGATCCAACATAAAGGTATGAATACAAATATGTGAATAGCGAATGAAAACAAACATGATTTTCAAATATACTAGATATTCGGTTGTTATCGATAATCACACAGGACAACATTCCTTTCGTTTTCAATAATTTGGTTATTTTTAGTTGAGATACTTTAATTTATAAAAATATATTTGAAAATGTTAGCAATATATTATAATATATTAGCTGCTTATTAATTGTTTCAAATAACTAAAACACTTATGACCGGTTGCGGCATTATTATCTATTGATAAATTTAGTATTAATTATGTATATAATGATAAATTACTGGTTGGTAAATTGAAGTTTAAGCACGTGGTACATTTATGAGTGCTGCTCAATCATTTTTTTATCTAAGTTATTACCAGAATACTGGTTAACACTGGTTACGTAACAAATAAATAGTTTCACTATATCGGCAGTAGAAATAACGTAAAACATTGATAACGAAATTTAACTATACATAAATTTTTACACGACTATAAACGGACCTGTAATTTACTTCTTGATAAAATTAATTTTTATCAACAGATAAAATTTAAAACATGTTTTATACAACAGAATTTTTTAACTCCAAAAAAACGAGTTTATCTCTGTGTAAATATACAATAGTAATAATATAGTCCAATAGTATTTGGTGCAACCCGGCATTAGTAATTTTTTTTTTATAAACACCTGTGTATCAAATTAATAGAGTTACTTAAAAATTAATTAGTAATCACCTCCAATACTTAATTTATCTTTTCAGCGTTGGTTTTATATTACTAATCCCGTGCATGATTCATTTATAATTTATTTATTTATTAATATAACGGGCTGGAGTCCAATTTACAAAAATTGCATAACAAAATACATCATGATACACAGTTCGAGTGCAATTAAATTATTAAGAACAAAAAAACATTCAGTATTAGCTTAAGACTAAGTTACAAGTAAAGGTTAATTAGTAAATAGTGTGACTACCTAAATAATAAAGTAAAATTATTATTAAGTTTATTTCAATTATGACTAGAATATGGTATCGTAATAATGTGAAGAGCGCAATTATGTTGTGAATAAAATGATAATCAATGAGAAGGTCGTATTCTTCTACGGCGCTGTAGTGAATATATTTTTTATAGTGATTCTTATATAGCATATTGGTAAGTTAAGTTATAACCCTCTCCTTACCGACCATCGCCGACATGGCAACCAGGTTATACCCCCTCTTTACCGACGGACGCTTGGTAACCTGTATATATTAAACGAGTAAGCTAATTTTTTCCTGCTTCCCCTTTCCATCAACGTAAATTTATCCCGTATAAATTTGCAGCTATACATTTCGTAAACCAGCTACCTACATTATACTATCGAATTCAGTGCAACATCGACAGTCAATTGTATTACAATAAATTGTCGAAATAAATCTGTTTTTAAACGATTTTTTTTTTAACAAATTTTCGTGATAATTGATTATTGATAACTGACTGTAAAAATGAGTTGTCAATTGACAAGTGCCGTTGTTTTGAAATTTCTCCATTAAAATAATCGATTTTGAAGTTTTAAGCTATAATAATTATTGTAAATGCAAATTTAATAAGTTTTTTACAGAATTACGGGATTTGTGTACTGTTTTGTTTGCTCTGTATAAAAAGTGTGTATTAGATACCTATAATAATATAGATTAATTAAAGAAGTATAGAACACACTACGGTGGTTTGTAATCAATGTAAATGACTAATACGTGGTATATACTTATATATCATTATTATTTATTATGTATTAGTGAATTATTGAATATATTAACGTTAGAGGTTAGATTATTATTAATTAGTAGGTCATAAGTGTCAGATTTTATGACTGAAATCATCGTGAAGGTTAAAAAAATAACGACGATCGCACAAAATTTAAAATATTAATCTGCAGCTTATTAACCATATTATTACAATAATGGTATAAGAATTTCTACACTTTTACTTCAGTAGTGTAATGAAATACCTATCAAATACATATTATTAGGTACGTTAAAATATAGTTGACTTTATATTTTTTGTTTTAGTAATTTATTTTATATTAACAAAAAAATGTATGTGTATTATATATACCTACATATTTTTTTCAATCATTCAAATTGAATTTAAACATAGCAAGTTGTTTAAAAAAAAAATACAAAATACGAAATTATTACACTTATTATCAGTATTGTAGCTTTTGTTAATTATTGATTATATTAAACACACTAACTGCTTATAATTAACTTGTACCCATACATAATTATATTTGCAGGACGCTATACACCCTCGTAGCATTCAGTCGTACACATTTTGTGTGATTAGTTTTATTATTAGAGTTAATTAACGTATTATCAAAGTTAAAGGTAAGACCTAAGAATCTAAAAACTAATTATCTGTGTTCCCACTTTGATGTTTTAGTTTTTAAGCTAAACCTGACTGTGTGAAATATCACAACTTAAAAATGACTATATGTCGTTTAAAAATTAAAATTCCTAATGAAAAAAAAAAACCGATATAGTGGCACAGATAATGTTCATGCATTTAAGTTTGGCTATAAGTCAATTCACTCGAACATTAAAACGTATTATATTAACAACATATTTATTTGTTCTATTGAAACTATTGTTACGATACGATTACAATACGATTAATAATTATTATGCGTATTATAATAAAGCCGGCCATATTATAATCGCCGAGCGTTGATGAGTAGTTTGCGTTGCAATGTGCGTAATCGTGAAAATGACATAAGATAAACCAAGCGCTTAGAAGCTATTTGCGTATTTTTAATACGGAATAGATAGAAAACAATTTTTATTTGTAAAAGGGAAAACACATATGGCGCATTCAACATTTTGTATTTTTTCATTTGGAACGATACAGAAAATGGTTGGGCACCCCTGGGTTAGGGTAATAGCGACGGCCGAATAATAATATTATCGCCACGTTGGCGTCGTTAATACTAATACAGTAGGAATACTGCGCGCCGACGACGAACACGGCGAATGGCCTTGAATATAAAACACAACGCGTCGTCGTTCGTGTACGGGGGCGCGAGCAACGTTCCAGTTGACGCGTCCCGGCACACATGCGATTCGCACAATAACAATGGACCGTAAAAATGTGAACAAACTATTATCACGTCACGTGAGTTCACGTGCTATCGTAGAATTGTTAATTTAAAAGCCTACAGATAAAAAAAAAAAACGAAACGAAAAAAAAACCTAGTATTATTCATGACAATTTTCTACCGTGTATATCCATTATGAAACCGAAAACCTATGTGTTACCTCGTGTCTCGTATAATAATAATAATAATAATAACGAGGGAGATGAAAAAAAGACTGTCAGGGGTACCCAAATTATTACGACAACAAAACTGATGGAAATGGCCCATCGCGCGTTGTGTTCGGGACGCGACGACGGTTTTAAAAATCGTCGCCCGTCCCCGAGCATTTTACCGTCGGTTAGGTTGTACAACGCAGCACGCTACAAAGCCGCCATAAACCGATTTCCCGCCGCCCGTGCGCCGGTGACGTCATCGTCGATGGCGCGCAGTTGGTCATATTGTCGGTTAAACGCGTTCATTATTTTTGACAGCTGTGTGCACGATATACATTCAAACCACTATATTCAATTTTTTTTTTTATATACACATAATTTAGACAGTAAAGACGCTTCGGGGATTTCTTTTTGGAGATTTTTTTTTCCCGGGGGTTTTTCCCCTGGGATTTTTTTTCCGGGATTCGTAGCGGTAATGAAAACTTGTTTTCAGACATTTAAGTGAAAGACCTCATACCAAAGTGAAATTTTTACTGCCAAGACTTGCGGCGTAATTATTTTTTTTCGCTGCATGCACGCTTTATTTCGCCGCGGTAAATGAATTTACAAACATGAAAATCGTAGTCAGTTAACAATTATATATACGCCAGAATATTGTGGCGTAAACCTTTTGTAATATCAGTAAATTAATTTTTATCTGTATTTATGCCATATGCCTATTTACGTATTGTCCGATGTATATACCTCGATGATAAATGATAAATGTTTTTAAATTATTATAGGCTCGCAAGTACTCGGCGTAGTACCAATATCCGATAAGCTTGTTCGTTGTACGTTTGTATACAAAGTATTAAAGTCTTATCGTCGTCATCGCCATCATCAGTATAATGATGGTACAAATGCGAAATAAATAAATACCGATCAGGCAATTGTAAGATAGGAAAGGAAGTCACACGTGTAAGACATATACACTACACGTAGTGGTCCGTAGTGTATAGTATAGGTTACAGCAGTCATCGAAAATTAAAACAAGATAAAAACGAAATATAGAAGACCAGCAGCTGTTACTAATACCGCGCGATTTCGCTTTGGCTAGGTTAGGTCAGTGATATTATTTCATTTCCCGACCGGTTGCCGCACGGACATTCGCGCTACGCCGGTGCCGCGGGGGAGTTAGTTGGACGCCTTGTAACGAATTTTGTGGCGTCGCAACTCGTGACGGCCGACGACGGCGAACGGCCTTGGGGATATTCGTCGTTTACGCGTCGTCGTCGGTCGTGTACGGGCGCACGAGCAACGGCGTGGTTCCAGTTGACGCATGCGCCCGGTCCGGACACACGTAACATTATGGCGACCCGCACACTAATCCCGTACAAAAGCCTGCACAGAACGAGCCGTAACCGACCCTCGAAAAAATAAAAACCACACACACGTGTCGCTGGATACAACGGAGGGGAAAAACGACAATAATATTTCATATTATTATCTACAACGGCCCGGTAGTATGATCGATACTCATCGCGACACAATAACAACGCGACGCGACCGCGCGTATAAAACAGGGTATCCCAAAGCGGTGTTCTACACGGGTTTTCGTAACTCAGATAATAATAATTCCCTCAACAGGGAATAATTCGATTTCGATTCGGTTCGGTGCCACCGATTATTTGTAAAAATTGTAATGACAACGCTAGAGTTGAACGGAATTTAATACGTAAGCGATATGTTTAAAAATAAAACAAGCATTGCAGTAATAAAATAAAATTCGTACCAATATAAATGTCTAGATATATTAAAATTTGTATTCAAAACACGCTTATTGAGAAAAATACAATGAAACGAAAAAGGTTTTTTTTTGTCAATTTTTGATTAAAGCACTTTTCCTAATAATAAACGTTTTCCGTATTAATGTAAAATAATGCTAAGTATGATAATATGGGGTTTGTTCGTAATACACACGATAGTTTTTGAACGTACAATATATTTGAAATATTGTAGAAAAAAAGCGACGGTATACACGGAAAAAACGTCTTGTAAAAATAACCAACTCTACTGATAAAATATAAATATCAATTAATAAAGACGACGGCGGAAAGTCCATGACATAAAATAAATACATCAATGTCGATTGGTTGAGCAAAAATATATCCCACAATAGTGACTTGGTAATTACATTTTTAGGCATTATTTGAAAATGTAATGAACCAGACTTACTGACAAAATCAAACAAAATATAATTTTTTTTTTTATTCATAAGTAAGTGGTAGTAATAAAATATAATTCTCCTTTTTCATAATACATAATATATATGTATTATATATATGAGTATTTATATATGTACAATATAAATGTATACAATTTTAAACTATAAGTAGGTATATGACATGTTAACATACTAATACTGTTAATAAAGCGTTTTTATTCGTATAAATTTTCGTTTTGAATATTTTATACTTATCAATATGTCTGACATGACTTATTATTGTTTTGGCCGAAAAGGGAAGGGTTCGATTTTGGTCGAAAAGAGTCGCCCACTAATGCATTATCGTTCTAAGACGTTCGCAAAATAATATACAAATATCGATAAAACCCTATTACACATTAATAACCGTTACCGTGCGAAACTCGCTGTCAATGCATCCATCAATGTCGAAAATATTGAACAGAAAGGTCCTCGAATGACGCGAGTGCATTATCATAATATAACGAGTCGGCAAAATCATAATATACAAACATAGGTAAAACCGAATTGCATATTAAATTATTGTTGGCGTGCGAAACACTATGTTTTACATTAATTGACGGGCGTTTGTTAAGGGCAATGTGAAGTTTGAAAATTTGACGACAAAAACGAGACCATTAATGTCGATTATCGGGCAAAATAATAGCACAGAGACGAGTGACGGGTATAACATTATCATCGCCGATCCGTTTACCGGGGCATTTCAGAAACGTAATACGAAATATATTGGTGTAACCGTATTTAATATCGTTAAAATGTGATAAACTAGACTACGAAACTCTGAGTACTTTTATTTCGATCGAGGGCGATGGGAAACGAACAGTATACAAAAAAATATATTAAAACGCTCGCAATAGTCGCACTCGAATAATATCAACAACGGCCAGGTAGATACGGTACCCTTTACGAGGGCTCCTGCACGCAACGGCGGCACTTGGTTCAATATCGGCACGGTACATCGTCATTCTATCTATCCGTGTGGTAAATTGTACCGAATTGTACCTAACCTAACCGATTTTGTTTTGAGACGGCCTCATATACGAAAATTAATACAAAATACACGAAAATCCATCAGACATTGGATCGGAACTCGGAACTATCATTGGTCGACAATATTTCTAAAAATAATAAAGGGTTTCGGTATTTCGCGATGGCATATAATATTATATTATGTACAGGCTATAAGTGATTTTCAGCGACACATCAGTTTTCACAAATCGACGTGAAAATTTACCCGCTCACGCGGTTATTAATAATAAATCACTACAGTTATTATTTCACTGCAATCTGCAATCAACTAAAGTACCGAAATAAAAAACATTAACTGTATTATGAATATTTAATCTTTGCACGAAATACAGTGTTGTACGACGATATTTTATAAACCTCGGGACCTGGGTGCTACTTTAGTATGAGTCGCTGAAATTTGCATTTAAATTTTTTATATAAATTGCAGCCAGGGTGTATTTTGTATATATCACTAAATATTTTTTATTCATACGAATAAATTACGTCTAGGACTGTTTTTGTAAAATCAATATTTAAGAAACAAGCACTTCCCGCCCCTCCTTGCGCGCGCCACTGCTGCAAACAAACACAAACGACGAAATCAACATTAAAACCACGCGATTTTCAATAACAAGAAATTGACCGGACTACAGGGAAAAATGATTTGGCGCCACGGTTTTAAAACGTATTGCACAAAGAATATCGACGGTAATATTATTGTATAGTGTGTCCGTTCCTATAGAGAGAGAGAGAGAGAGAGAAAGACAGAATATAAAAAAAAAAAAAACGCGCCGCGTTAAATGCGACGCGGACGATACAAGAAACGTTCTCGTATTATTTATATTTTATAATTGGTATTGATGGGTTAGTTCGTATCTCTTTTAATAAAATAACGGTTCTCCTAGATCCTGTCTGATGATGACAAAACGAATGGAAATAATACCGTGACGTATTTCGAAATGCTCAAGAAGACCGGCGTTTTTTTTTTTTTTTAAATTTATTAAATCTCGAACGTAGTCGGGAAGATAAACGTCCTCCCGGCTACGGGAATATAATAAATATTGTACGGTTTTAAAACCATTATCCGTCCCGAGTACCTGTTATGGAAAAAAACCGTGCATTATAATACCCATTTTACATCGTAGGGTGATAGCCGCGCTCGCCGCCGCGTGTGCCTACGAAAAAATGTGGCACCGAACGAAGTCGTTACAAACCCGTTTCCTGCTGCCTACGTGCCGGCGACCGGGCGACGGCGCGTCGAGTAGGTAATGACGACGGCTACGTCCGAGGTTAGGTTAAAATATTATCCCCGTATTATATTGTTCGCAGTAGACACTATATTTTAAAAATACAACACACACACACAGCTCGCATAATATAATAACTAGAACAGCGGAATTTTAGGTTTTTACGTGTAAATATTTGTTGGCTTTGTGCAGCGCAACGAGGACTGTGAACGATTTACCCATTACGGAGTTCATGGACACAAATGTATTTGGCATATTTAAGCATATTTTTGGAGATTGGAGAATATTCGGCCCGTTTTCCATATTTTAGAATATTCTATTGTATTTTGTTCGTAAAAAACTCACATAATATCTATTTAGCTCATTTCTCGAGTTGTGACGTTTTCATCGTAGGAAAAAATTATTATTATGTAATTGAAGAATGATAAAACTCAGTTTCTGGTTTGTAGTCAAATGAAAAAAAAATCATATTTTTAGCATATTTTACATATTTAGGGGATATTAAGAGAATATTTTAAGGTTGTTTTTTAGAACATATTAGCATCATATTTTAAACTTTAAAGAACCGAAAAATCCGCTCTCTAAATTAATAACATTACGCGAAAACACTGCTACTTATGTGTTAGTGTGACATTAATCGTTCTGTGGGAGCGATGTTGACTTCTTTTAAATTTGATCTCACAGAATTGTAAATATTTCATAATATACAATATTTTTAATACGTTTGAATTTTAAATTTTCAATAATTTTTTGAAAAACTGGGAAAATCACAAAATGACTTGTTCTTAAAGTACCTCTTTAGTCAGATTTCCTTTCAGAAAAAGTACTTTCATTATAAATCGGAGCAAAATTGCTGGTGGAAAAGTTGATCACAGATAATAGAAAAAAAAAACATCATTGTAAAACCAATACATTTCTCGTTTCACTCAGAATCTAAAAAAGTAATATTATTCCGAATTTATTATGCAGACTAATAATCGAATGACTGCAATATTATAGTTAGGTAGGTAACCAGAGTAATATTTTTGTTGCGTAGCCGCAACTATAGTCAGCACTCCACGTCACCAAAACTGGCGGCTGGCCCTCGCCATACCCCGAACCCATCGTGTTGACAGTGGTTCTCATTCTACGCGACCGGAAACCGCCATCGGTTATACGCAGTCAGTGTTCACATATTAGTCTCTCCCACAGATATATATATAAAAACTAGATAGCCGACGACTCCGTATACAATTATGATGCCCAACGCCGTTTGTCACTTGGGCAATGTTAATAAATTCTTTCGCTGCCGAACAATATTTCGTGTTAACGTAATTTATGATTATTAAATTTATCTGCTACTAAGACAGCATAAAGATAGTAAGAATTTGTTAATATTGCTCTCAAATGACAAATGGCGCTGGGCATCATAATTGTGTACATTGCTGTGTATGGAGTTGGCTATCTAGTTTTCGTATATATATCTGTGGTTTCTCCTGAATATTTTACTTTTTTGAGATAAGGGATATTAAGTCAATTATCGACGGGCGTACATATTTTAAAGAGCACGGCAAATTGTATTATTGTTTGATAACCATTACAACAAATTGTCCGCTTGAAACGTGGCGGTCATTTGTGATCATATGACACGCCGAACCTACACGTTAATTTAAAAGCCGGTTCCTCAAAAACATAAAAAAAGAGCAATTTCTAATCAATGTGTCAAACTTTCCTTCGTAACTTGGCTGAAATACACTCATTTTTCGATATTAGATAGCTCGTATTTTTTGTTTTATATTTGTAAGCCGATGGGGGAGGGATATTACTATGTTGACCAGGTATAAAAATCCAAAAAAGTACCTACATTTTAAAATTTGGGTCCTCTATTATAAAAAAAAAACCCTTCCCTTGAATGAATTGACCAATGTGTATTGTGTATACTATTCTACCCATTTTGCCCATAGCCTATCTCTATTTATATATATATATTTTTTTATCTAATTACTTTATTTTTTTTCTTTCTATAATCGACTTTAAAAACTAATTATTTGAAAACATAATGTCAACTAGTTTGTGTTTTTATGATTAAAATAATTTGAAATTTAAGTAATTTTAAATCAACTTAAAGTACATAACTGAAGTATACATATTTAGATCAATTTTTAAAGATAAACATTTAAATAAATAAATATAAAACTTTATTAATGCATGTTTTCTACATATTTATATTTATAATTTTTTAAAAAAAATAGTGCAATTTCATGTATTCAACACTATTGTTAAGGGCATAGGACAATGCATCAAAAAAGGGTACATCTGGTCACCATAGATATAACCCTTAACCTCCCCCTCTCTGCGCATGCCACCGGCTGAAATACAAATGACGAAATCGATTGAAACTATACGATTTTCAATAATAAGAAATTTATTGGACTAAGAGAAAAGTGATTCGGCGCCACGGTTTTAGAATGCACTGCACAAAGAATATCGATGGTTACATTGTGTCGGGTCTTAAAGAAACACAAAAAAAAAAAAAAAAAACCATAAAAACCATTTTGATTACGTGAACGTACCTACGCGGTGCGTCAAGCGTTGGGCTGCCGTGTGCCTACGAAAAATTGTTGCACCCTACGACATCGCCGCCGGCACGTAAGCGACGTCGTCGGTAATGTCGTTGAGACTCGTGTAGGTTAAAGGCTCGGGACACAGAACGCGGGCTGCGATATTTTCCAGCGGCGGTAAGGCGGTAAAGTCATATTACGTAATATTGCATTATTCTCGTCACACAGAAGGCGGTCTGTCGCGGGGGGGNGGGGGGGGGGGGGAGAACAGTAAAGATCGCGACAACAGGCGATAAAGTTGTGGAATATTATAAAATTCCGCTCGGGCAGCTGGTGATCTGTTTTTAAATTTTTCAATTGTTATATTACATTTACAGTACGGTGGAAGAAACGGAACGCGTTAGAAAATATTTGTTCTTATTCGATACATCCCATCAAAATTTTTAAAAATAAAGTAAAACAATTTTTTTTTTCTTTTATTTTGAAGGGCAAGTATTAGATGAAGTCGCTCTTCGTCATTACTTGACATATTGAATAAAAAATAAGTAGTGTAATTATAAAACAATGACAAGTAATATGTATTTGTAACTATATGATAACAACCAAAGTTTGATATATCATCGTAACAACTATGACAAATAAAGTGTATACTAGACCGCTCATGAAACAAACGCATAGTGTAAGGCGTCACCAGATCGCCGACCGCGCGACAATCCGCGCTCTATGTGCCCGAGTCTTAATGCAGCGACGACGCGCGACGGCTGCTTCCAAGGTCACGGTCGTGCGTTAAAATATCCCCATAACATATTGTTCGATAAACACGATATTTTAAAAATTAAACACATTACTTGTTTGGTAGTGCTACATTAATCGATTTGCGTGAGCGACCACGATTTCTTTCAAATTCGTTCTCGCGCAATAATTGTACAATCATTATACAGGGTGATAAATCTATCATAAAATACTAATTATCTCGAAAGAATTAACTTTTTTTGAAATTTGTATTAAAAAAAATTTAAGAAACAAGCTGTTCTAAAATTTAACATTTACAATATTTTCTGTCACCCTAAGTTTTGGAGGTGAAACGACTACCTACTTTTGATTTTTAAATAGCAACCTATATTAAAAATTACACAAATAGATAGAGTAGTAATTAAAATAAATTTTGTACGCTTAAAAATTTCAATAATATTTCGAAAAAAAAAAAATCAACGTTTTTACCCATACCTACATAATGAATAAAAGTGTAGACAGTCTAAGTGTATGTGTGTGTGTGTGTGTGTGTGTGTGTATCTTTGCGATATTAATGGAAAGGAAAATAATGATTGTTGTAAATGGAAAATGTAAATGCAATTATTTTAATAATGCCGTCTTAGAACAATGGGAATGGGTGCAGGTTAGGTTGTAGATGGAAATTAAAGAGAGTAGGATATAGACAGGAATTTAATATATATCTGTACGCAACGATTAACCGTCGCTAAACAAAATAACGATTCTGAGCGGAGTTCGGTGTTGTTTTTTTAGCAAAATATGTCATATTTTGGTAAAATAAATGCCCATCCATTAACATTTTCTTTAATAATATTTGTTTATTATTGTACTTATTTTCCCGTGTTTCATACGTTTTTTCCCGGTTTTACCAATTTTTTGGAAAAATATTTGAGAAAATCAAAAAATGACCACCCTTAAATACTGTTTAAGTCAGATTTCGTTTCAAAAAAAGTGTCATCATTGTAAATCGAAGAACAATTATTGGTAGAAAAGTTGTTCACAGATAATAATAAAAAAAAAAAAAACCATCATTGTAAAACCAATACATTCCTCACTCCACTCAGAATATAAAAAATTACTATTATTCCGCATTAAGTACATACAGATCAATAATCGAGTGGCCGCAAAAAGTGCGTATTTTTCATTTTTGATCGCAACTAGTAAACAACGGCAGCGACGGGCGCGATGTGAAAAACACCAATACAATAACGAGTATAAAGCGCAATCCACTGTTGCCAACCGAAAATAGTTTCCAAATCGTCCTATAGCTCGACTCTGAAATGATATTACAATGTATAATGTAATTGTGGCTAAGCGCGTCTGTACTAACAATAATATGAAACCAACGATTTTATTATTTTTTTTTTTAATCGGAACACATTTTTCTAATCGATAATATTATATTGGAACGAGTACAGAGATAACCTCTCGAACCCTAAAGGTCTATAAACCAATGTTTTGATAAAACAACGAATAATGTAACGATTAAAATTACAATACAGGCACAATAATACGTGCACCACTGGCAAGAGCGTCCGCAGGAATTTATTAAAGAGCATCAAAGGGGGGAGGGGGAGAGTAAAAGCGCAGTTGATTGAGGACTATTAAATACCTATTAGAAGAGATACTGTTGTGAAACTTGTTTTCATAATATGTCTTATTTTTCATATTATACTATTATTTCTATAATGACTTAGGCCTGCGCAATATTAATAATAATAATAATAATAAGTTAATGCATACAAACGCATACTTCAATTATTACATTTTAGATATTTTTCTAGATAACATACTAATAGTTGATTTACTTCTCTAGTATATTTCCCATGTAGCATATTGGCTGGTCGGTTAAATTAAATGGCAAAATATGGGTTATTTAAAATATAAAATAATGTTTTAAGGGTTCAATTTAGGCAATATATTATGCATGTGGATTCATGAATTGCGTCTGTGCGTGTAGTAAATGATCATTAGTGTGAATGTGAATCCGTTTACCTAATACCTACCCGCCATCTATCACACCACAATAGCAGGAAAGGGGGTCTCTTTGCTAATGAAACTACACTAAGTAAGTGCGTACCTGGCATACTTTCTTGGCATAGTGCTATTCCACTAAAATTCTTACTTCGCATACTTCGCGTACTGTTACGAACTTGGCTTTATTAAAATATGCTAACTACGACACGTCGGGAATTGTCGTTATTGACTTACTTAACGACTTAGCGTACTTTCTCGTATATATTCGATTTTATTATCTTTCAGAGATGTTATCATTGATTGTTTGTATTATTATTTGTTTATCTACGGTAGTCATGTGTTGACTGTTGGTCATTTATACAACGTACCTTGTACTAAATTTTTACTTAAAATGAATGTGACGCGACTAAATTTTTATTTTTATTAGACGATGAACGATATGATGACTGTAGACAATTAAGGATAGAGCGAGTCCTTATTCGTCAACTGACAGTATATCGGTTGTCCGACGAAGAATTTCGGATATCAGAACATACATTTGAACGTAACAAATAACTTTATTCTAATTCGAAAAACACTAAAACAGACTCGACATTGCACATTACTAACCTCTAAAAATACTCCATCAATTAATATCAATGTTATTAACAAAACAAATACGAAAACTATGCTGCTACAGAAAATGGCAGAATAAAAGCCAACGCTTAAATCAAGTACGCCATTACGCTTCTCTCGGAAGCACGTGAAGTAAGCGCTCATTTTTTCACAAAAAATAGCAAAATAGAACCCCTGGTTTTCTCGCGTTTCGCGTGGCCACGGAATGATGAAATATGGGTACTCACCACCGAGAAACTGGAAAGTTGAAACAGCACAAAACTCCAATGTCAGCGAATAAGAGCAAACAAACAGGTACAGATGAAGACGACACGATAAAGATACGAAACAAAGCAAACGCGAGCAAGAAAAGTGAACGAGAAAAGTATACAAAATAACTTTGGAGAAAGCGATGTTATCACAGATAACAACGTGATATCAATATCCGCTGGTATCAACGGACATTAATATTTTCGTGTCTAGTGAATAGTGATAATATATTAATTTGAATTATCAGCAAATGTATCAAACATCACTGAACTATCATGGCCAACGTATAATAAATATTTTGAATTTATTTCAACGGATAGTAAGAACTTTTTCGTAAAGTACAAATTATGTGTTAAATCAAAAACATATTCTACTACCATGAAAAATGGTTTAAATTTAAAATAACACATAGCAGTAAGTAGAATTCATAATAATTAAAGGGGTCGTGAAATACTGAAATGTGCATTTGTATTATTGTTTTATCTGAGTACTGCCTACATATTATCATATTGCATGGAAATTCATTTCAAAAAATTATTATAGAGATACCTATCAAAGCCAATTACACGAAATAAAATATAATTATTACATTAATATTTTATTATTTTTATGCTAACAGCGAATGCTTTGTTACCTACAGCTTTTAATTTTTATAATATTAATTTCCTCGAATTTGTTTAAATATTTTTAGTTTCATCATAAAAAATCAGTTGCTAAGTTAATTTATCAGTTTTTATTTCATTAATCCAAAAAAAAAAAACTGGACTTTTTATATTTTTTAATTCTAAGTACTTGTTTTTGGATATTTTAGATCATTTGACAATAATATTACTAAAAAGTACGCAATAATTTCAAGTTTTTTTAATGCATACCTAATTTAGATTATAATTTCCTAATAATAAAAAAATTTTAATTTTATTTTTTAAATTGTATAGATAAAGTACAAGTTCAAACTTAAAGAACTTGAAGAACAATTAAAATGTGAAAAGACTTTTGGCAAGTGCAAACAATATGAGACTGATGACAATTGTACAACTAAAAAGTAACTAACATTATCTAAATCATTTTCTGCACCTAAATGTATTAGTCAACGTAAAATAAAATTTTTAATTTAATTTTTTAAATTTTATTAGTGCAATAACATATTAATTGTACAGTGATAACGTTTTTTTTAAACGAGTTTTTTTTTAGGGCCAATAGGAGACCAGTAATTATAAAGTAGAACCACAAAAAAAAGAGATTTCAGAAAAAAAAACAATACTGATAGTTCAAATAGGTATATTTTATTTAACTTTTATTTAACTATTAAATATAGACCATATATAAAACATATTCAATATCAGTACCTATGAATTATGGATATATAGATGTGTATTACAAATAAAAGTATTTCAACAACCAATAATAGAAATATTTTGAACATAATAATTCTATCATCACCAATTTAAGTGGACTCTCGTGTTTCTTTTTGAAATAGTATAGCTTAACTTCGTCATATAAAACATCAACATAGAAATGTAAGAACAATAAATAGGAACATTTAGTCCTAAAACTTTTAGTTAATTAAAAAAAAAATTAAAACACATTTTCTAATTTTTAAAAATTAAATAGTCTCTACTACGTTTTGGAACTTAGAAATTTGTACGAACAAAGGATGATAAACTAACAATAAAAAAAAATTACATAATATCAATTTCGGTTGAGATTGGATATACAACCTTTTGCAATTGGGTGACTCAATTATTATGTAATATAGTATATTAATTAGTAGTATATCAACACGTTCATACATTGTCAATAATACCCAGCCGTGATTGTCATAAATATATGGGTTTTTGACTATAAATAAAATAATCGACTATTGATTAACAATTTAAATTATTTGTGTGGCTATTCAGTACAGATTTATAAATCATTGTATGCAGTTTGTTTTTATTTTTCTCCTTTAATCCCGGAGAAATATTAATTTTCCAACTAGTAGATTATAATTTTAATTTAATTTAATTTTTAGTTTTACAATAAAATATGAATCTTCCATCTGGTCCATCAAAAAAAACTCAATCTCAAAGCCCCACGAGTGGTAGTAAAAATACAATTTTAATTTTTGATGAACTTCTTCTGTGTATATTAGAAAGTGATACATTGTTTTCTTTCGAAGAAGAATTCATTGGTGATTATTATTATAATGATTATTTAGCAAACAATAACGAAAGTAAATATTGAATATAATAATGAATATCATTTATTAATATATTGATATATTTACATAGATGACAACATTAAAAATAGTGATGACGAAGATGAAGTCAATATTTCTGATGTATTGACAAATTCTACACCAGTTTGGTAGACTGACCCACCTAATGTGAATATTGAATACACAGCTACACCAGGTTTGAAGTTTTTACCAGAAAGTGATAAACCTATTGATTATTTTAACTTTTTATTTACTGATGAATTGTTGGATCTTATTGTTGAAGAAACTATTGCTTACACACTTGTAATTTATTTAAAACCTCCTATCAAAATGGTAGAATATCGAATTGGATCAATACAAATAAATTAAAAATGAAAACATTTTTAAGTTTAGCATTTCACATGGTAACGGTTAAATTGAATAGAGAAGAAGACTTGGAAAACTATCAAGTTTTTTAAAATTCCATCTTTTTTGGGAAAATATGAGTAGTAATAGATTTATGCTATTATTTTGAGCGCTCCATTTTTCTCGTAACCCTAAAGAAGAAGAAGTGGCTCCTATAGATTACATAAAATTCAACCTTTAATATTAATTATTTCAATTTAAAAATAGAAAAAATATAGGAGCCTTCTAAAAATCATTCTATTGATGAGGAGAGACCAATTGATTTTTCGGCAATATATAAAAAATAAAAAACATAAGTATGGTGTTAAGATATATATGTTGATGAAACCATGGCTACTTATATACAGAGTTGGTTTATTCAGGACAATACTACTCATAAAACTAAAAACCGATGACTTTCATTTGCTAAAAAAAAGTTTTAAAAAATGAAAAGAAAAGGTATCTATACAAAAGATGTAAAATTTGTTATGATAAAGGTATTTGTAAAGATACAATTTATTACTGTGAATAATGCAATGGTGAGTCTGGTTTATTTTTAGAAAAATGTTTTGAAGGGTATCATAAACAAATTTAAATTAATATTGTTATAATTATATTTATTTTAATATTTTAATAAAAAGAAGTGAAGACAAAGAAACGTCAAGTTAATTTTTTTTTTCAAATTAAAATATTTGTTGTTTTTTTTATAGGACTATTTATGTTTAATGTAAACATTTTATAAATAAAGTTGTTTGGAAAAGTAATATTTTATTCTTATAAATTATCATAATAATATTAATCAATCAATGATAAGAGTTATATAATATATTATGAAGACTCCTGTTTATTTATAACATAGTTCATACGGAATAGCTGATGAAGACAACTCTTATTTTGTAAAACCGGATTATTCCCAATGTGTTAAAATTACATACAATGAACAAATACTATTATTTTCTGCTTTTGTAAAATTATTACATTATTATGTCAAAGGTCAAGCCAGTGGTAAGGCCATTGGTAGAGCCAGACATTTTCATGTAGGGTCATAGCTGTATAAATGTATTTATTTTTTTGAATTTGAATTTATATTATACTTATTGTTAAAGTTTTATAATTAACTATTGTTAAGTATTTATATTTACTATAAAGCATTTAATTAAATAAAAAAAAATGTTCCTATATAATTTGACAGTATAGCTATTAATTGCAGATTATATGGCTAAGTTTTTGTATGAGAATTAAATTAGTAATGTATAATTATTATTATATAATATGTAGAAATAGATATCAGTATAGTTAACTTTATTTTTCAGAAAAGTTAGATTCTATAATCACTAAGTTTGTAATCCTGTGTAATCAAACCATTTTTCAATTGCCAACAAAGAAAAACATTGATGGGTAGAATATCTACAATTTCTCAAGAGTTAAAAAAATAACTTAAAGAATAATTAATGTCTATTGGTTTTTAATATGTTTGTGCTACTGCGGATTGTTGGTCTGTCTTCAAAAAGTAATATTTTATTAATGAGATCAAATATCATTTATTTATTTATTTATGGTCAGTAAATACTTCAATTAATATGCTCACATACAGGGTCAGTAGTTTTATGGCTGGTACAAAATAATAATATACATATTGATTTCACACATATATAGTAATTTTTTGAAATGGTTTGTTTATAATTGTTAACTGACAGTTTTTTTTTTATTAAGAGCTACATTGAAATCACAGTTCATTTGACCCTATTAGTATTGAACGAAATTCAGTAACTCTTGCTTGTCAGAGGCTAAAAGGTTGACATACTTTTGATGTTTGGGCAAAAGTTCTACATATTTTGTGAATATGGAATAATTAATAAAATATCTAGAGTTGTTACTGATAATAGTTTCAACTTTATAAAATCATTTCGATAAGGGATTTGTAAATTTAATATAATAATATATAAATTGCAAATGCTATAAAATAATGTTACAAAATTGAAAACAACAATTCTAATATTAAATATATCAAACTTTTTCTTTAAAAAAAACCAAACATTTTGTTTTATAAATAATTAACTTTAAAATGTTTTTTTTTTTTTGTATTTAAAGAATGTAAATAAAAATCTTTGTTTCCCATTGTCATTAATTTTTTTTTATAAATAAGTGTTCATGTAGAGACACAAGAAATAATAAATACATAAACAAGAGTTGAAACTTCTAATGATGATGAAATAGATATAATGAAAATAGATGACATTTTAGCTAACAGTCATAAACAAAATCCCGAATATTCACTTCAACCTTATTATCTGATATCATTTATAAAATACAGGTAAAATCATTGTTTGCAAAAATGCAAGGCTTGTGAAATAAACAAAGCAGGATATCTGTAGTTGCAGATACTATTCATGACACATTAAATTTGTGTATAACTGTACCAAATACAGCTCAATGGAATTCAACATATAATGCTGTTAAATGTTAGTGATTAGTTAAAAAATCTGAAGTTAAGGTTCAACGTATATGTGATGAATCAGATATATCAAGATTTGATAAAAATGATTTTGCTTTCATATTTGATTTGATTTACAAAGTAAACTCTATATACCTAACAAAATAGTAAGGCAAATTGCTAAGTATACCATTGGGCAGAGTGAAAACACTTAATAATTTAAATATAGAAAAAAACTAAATAAATGCAAGCAAATTTGGTTCAGTTCTAACAGCTTGTAAAAGGTATACATTTTCAAAATCTGTTTAAACCATTTGAAAATAATGCTAATATAACAAATGTACATGCTGTACAGTGAGGTATTATAAATCAAATCTTAGACATTAAAGTATTAGAAGAACATTTAAATGTTAAAGTTGTTTCCAGAGGTTTACTGGGAGCTTCCTCTGATGGAATGGTAAATGAAGATTATATTGTTGAAGTGAAATGCCCTTGGAAGTACAGAAATAAAAATCTTGAAACCGAAATTAAAAAAGACCATAGTTACATTGTATATAAAGAAAATAATACAATTTTAACTAACAAAAATTGTATAAATTGGAATCAAATCCAAGGCCAATTATATTTGACGATGTGCAATTGTTGTTACTTAATAGAGATTGAAAATATGGGAAGTCAACTTGGACATTTTTTATTACTAAATACATACAATCTTATCTACATGTAACATTTTACTTTTCAATCAATATTTGTATTTAATTTAAATAGTGTTTTATCAAAGAAATGGTCAAAAATTTCATTTAATGATAACTTGTATTTTATTATTAAATTGAATACCTTATTATTCTAATATATGAATTAATCCCCGTTATTATAATTAATATTTATCCATAAATTAGATCAGATTAATGTATTTTATGTAGACCTTATATATTATATATATTGGTATATACTTTCAAGTTCCTGAAAAAATTTGAAATTTGTTTTCAGTATTTTATACATAGTATCAATTGTTTAGTTTTAGTTATATCAAGATGATAATATGTATAGTTAAATACTTATATTCAAAAATTTATAGATACACAGTATATAAAAACTAAAATGCATAACTGTATAAATTATTAATTAATTTTATTAATGACTACAATTTTATGAATATATATATACTATTTTTTTTTTTAAATATTTATATTTTCTTTTCAATTTCTTGTAAAAAAAGTGGCTGCAAATTTGTTAAAGCTGCAACCACTTGAAATATAAAATTAGCTTATTTTAATTAAGAAATAAAATTTAATATATTATAACATTTAATGTGTTTTATTGCTCTTTCAATGTATATACGGGGTTTGGCAAATAAAACCTTACCATTTAATGGTAAACAAACTCGGATATTATGGTTTTAAATGATAAACCGATTCAATTTTAAGCTATTCAAAATATACCATCATAAGATTTGTATTATTATAGATCAAAAATAAAATTTTTCTCATTCTATCCAGTGTTAAAATATGTTTTTTGAAACCAAAAGCAATTCCTGATAATATTAATATTATCACACTAATAGCGTGAATTATCTTTTAATAAATCTTTTAATCTTTTAGATAATAATCTTTTCCTTTTACCATTTCATTTCACTCAATCTTTTGTTTTTAAATAGAAATTATATTTTTTTTTAAATACAATTCTACTGTACATATAAATCATTTTATTTTGTGAAAAAACATGTTTCATATTTCTTAAAAATTCCAAAAACAACTAACAAGTCTAGTTGGTTTAAGTTTTTCAATAATCTTGATAAGGTATACTTAAATAGACATACATTTCCAGTCACTAATGTATATAGTGTCATAAATTATAGGTAGACAATTGCCCAAATATCAAGTCCAGAATCTCATGAAAAAAAAAAAATGTGATAAGAGTCCAAATGTAGGTATAAATATAAAATTAAGGTTTTGAGGATGTGGTAAACCACAGCTTTGGTTCATAATGGCCGATAAGTTTAAATTGTTAGAAGTACAACATAATGAAGTAAATTTGATCTATAAAAATATGTATTGCATATTAATAATAATATTAATTATTTAATACAATAAATAAATGATTCGAATAATGCACATTTGTATTAAAGTAGGTTTTTAACTATAAAACAATTTTTTTAATATGCATTTGATTTATAACTCAAACCTATATGACTGCACTACTTTTTGAAGCTTATTAATTTTTACCTAATTTTATCAATTTGTAACTGAAGTTTATAATTAGTTGAGATAAGCACCACATAAGTTCAAACATAAAAAACTTTAAATTTGAAATCTTAAGGTTAAGATATGCTTCAGGATTTAACAGTACTTAATGACAAAATTAACTACTTATTTTTTAAATATATGTTTTATATTTAGTTACTAATCTAATTAAATTAGATTGTTATCCATATTTTACTATACACAAATAACAGTTCTAAAACAAAATGTTCCTATGTAAGATGTCTTATAATTGTTATACATTTTTGTTAAATGTCAATATCAAATTTATTAAAATATTAATTTTTACAACAGTAAGAATTTTTACTATCTATGATCTCCTAAAGCGATAATAAGAATTTTTGAAATTAAATATGTATTCAATTTAGGTAAAAACTGAAGTCACATTTTGTAAAGTATTTTAAGTATTAATTTACACAGGTATCTAGATAATATAATAGTAGAATATTAATTGAACGAATATATTTTCCTTAAGAAAATTATTTATCTAATATCATACAAAACAGTTTAATAAGTTTGATAAACAATATTATATAATGTACCTATATACATAATAATTAGATACTTACAAGTTACAATCGAAGATATTTCTTAAAACAATGAATATTGGTCAATCCAACACGATTACAACGATTCAAAATCAGTATTCACTTAAAATCTTAAAACATTTGTTGTCTAATAAATGCTAATTTCTTTAAAATAATATAAAAAAATTGATGTTAAATTACAAATATCTACACTACACTACATCTATAGTATATCTGTGTCAAATAGTAAACAATTTTTCATTTTGCCATAGTTAACACTATAGATAATGGATAAAACCACTTTTATAGATAGAAAGGGAAGACACCATTGCTACGAAAGACACCTGATACGAAAACCAACTACTACCATATGTTATATAGTGCAATTGCATTACACCACTGTAACATTGCTCCGAAAGTAAATAACTACGATAATACATTAAGTCGCTTAACAATTACTCCGAAATAGTATTATAAAAAATTCAAAATTTATCATTAAACTCCTTGTTTCATTACCTTCATCATATTGATAATCTGTTTTATATTTTGCACAATTTATGAATTATAAAATCAAAAAGTGGATTGTTATTAATTGTCACTTATATTTTTGTCTGGACTATTTTGCTTTTTAATTAAATACATCCCAAGATAATTGGGGCATATCATACATTTTAATATAAACTATGAATCTAATTATCTAACTATTTTCAATCATTATCTGTAACAAAATTATAATAATGATAGATTGACACTTTTAATTAAAAACTATATTTATCTAATATATAGGTATATTTAACTAGGTAAGTATCATCCTCAGCAATATGACAATATCAGTAACATCTTCAAAAATTATTATTAAAAACAAATGAAAAATTATATATAATTATAGAATATCAATTTTATTTACCATGTATTATTGGTATGTAATTAATGTTCTCATGTAATCTTATATGAAAGTTCCTAAGAGCATACATTTTATAAATAAACTAAAATATTATGTAGGTACCTACCTAGGTAATTCTTAAAACAAATTATCCAACATTGAACTAAATGTTTTTATTTTAATTTGCTTCAGTAACTATAAGAATTAATCAATCATGGTATACACTACATTTACACTAACGGATAGATATCCAAATGTCCAATCACTAATAAAGAAGTTATATGCGAATAAACTTTTGTATCCTTTAAATCTCTTCAATATGTAAGCACTTTTAATCAAAACAAAGTAATTAAAAATATTAAAGCACTTAAGTCACTGGAAAAACTTTATTTAATTTTTTTTTTCGCAGTAAACAAATATATTTTCAGTATGCATCTTGTAAATTATTATAAAAGGTATTTAATCATAATAGAATTATGTTCTTCGTTAGATAAACTTTGAGATTATTTACCTAGTTTTATAAATATTATTACGAGTTATAGTTTTAAAATCAAACACAAAACAATATCATGATTATAACGAGGAACTAGTAAAAAGATAAATTTAAAAAAAAATTATTTGACAATATACAGAGGTGGACTACCAATATTAGTAACACAAATTAAGATATATCTTAATTGAGATAATTAATTTAGATTAATAAATTAATAATAATTATTTAAAAAAACGTATATTCCACTAGTAATAAATGATAAGAGTATGAAATTCAAAAAATTAAAAACATTTATTAATATATAGTCCAAAGAACACTTCAAACACATCGCATAGATACAATCCACCGTGCACGGGCGATAAGCCCAGCAGATTATTACGTAGTCCAACAAACTACATACAGCCAAAATGAATATGCCTACATCCACGCAAACCAATAAAAACAAAAAATCAACAGATCGAAAGGTCCCACCACTCATCATAAACAAAAATAGACTAATCTCCGAAGTTGAT